TCTCTACACGTTTATTTATAAAATATTGTATTTAATTATGCGCATATAAAAAAAATTGTGTTGCAGCACTTTTTAAATGTTATATTGGGATATTTTTATTTTACTTTCTTTTAAATAAAATTCTGATATTACCATGATTAAAAAATCTCAATATTTTAAGGCTTTTGTTATTATTATGTATACCTTATATAAATTAATTTAAAAATACTGAATTATTTTAAGAAATTGTAAAGTAGTGACTGATTATTAGTTATGTGGGCTGTTTAAATTTGTTAATATGAAAATAAACAGCATACATAATACACAGTTTAATAATGTGTAATTCATTGTCTGTAGATGTGTATATACGGTTTCATTTTTTCACCAATTCAAATCACCGGGAAGCTCATCAGGATAATCACCAGTTAGACAAGCGGTACAGTGACCAATGTAACTGCTTTCTCGATTATCCATACCAAATCTAACAGCTTTTACAAGTCCGTCTACTGAAAGGTATGTTAAACTATCAGCTCCGACATGTTTCGCTAGTTTTATGTTATCTAATTTATTTGCAATTAATTCTTCCCTTGTTGGTATATTAATTCCCATATAACATGGATACTTTAATGGAGGTGAAGCTATTTTAATGTGAACCTACAAAGATATGGTTGAATATAATTATTTTTTTCAAGATCATAACATAATAATCATAATAAATATACAGAGTGTGCGCACTATTAGAATTAACAATTCTTGACAAACTTACTTCTTTCGCTCCAGCATCTCTGAGTAACTTAATAATAGGTCCAATAGTATTTCCTCTAACGATTGAATCGTCAATAAGAATCAACTTTTTTCCTTTTACATTTTCTGATAAAGCTCCAAATTTCTTTGCTACACCAAGTTGCCTAAGTCGTGTACTAGGTTGAATAAACGTCCTACCAACGTATCTATTTTTACATAATACTTCCGCGAAAGGTATTTGAGACTACAAATAAAAAATTATTTCTTAAAAATGTAATTTTTAATGCGAGACTAATTCAAAAACAAATATGATGCATCTACCTGTCTGGCATAGCCATGAGCAGCTGCAGTTCCTGATTCAGGTACAGAACTGACTATATCTGCCTCTATTGGAGATTCTAAAGCAAGTTCTCGTCCACATTGCATGCGAACGGAGTATACCATTTGTCCTGTACAACAAAAAAGAGAACTTGAAAACTTCTATTCGCGTCATCTCGGTGTCGACATATTATTCTTTAATTTTTATAATTTACCTTCGAAAATACTGTCGCTACGTGCAAAGTAAACATATTCAAATATACAAAAGGCCTGTGGCTTCTTGTCTGGTCTATCGACAATGTCTATAGTTTTAATTCCTTCACGTGTGAGCTCCACAATTTCACCAGGAAATACTTCACGCACATAACGTGCTCCAATACTTAAGAATCCACACGATTCAGAGGAAATAACCCAACCTTCAGGTTCGTCATCGTCGTCATCTGATTCATTTCCAGCTACATGAGAACAATTTATTAAACTGTTTCTTTTTTAGAATAAAACATAGTTATATCTATATTGACATACCCAAATTTCCAATCGGTACAATTTTTCCAAGACACAATGGACGATTTCCATAGGGATCTCTAACGCCATATATTTTGTCTCTTTGCATGATTACTAAAGAATATGATAATGGTGCTAATTGCATGAGATGTTTGATACGTGCTGGCCAATCTGGACCATTAACTTCACCTTCGGGAGGATTTAAACAAAGAGCTTGCGTAATTAATTCAGAATCTGAATAAGTTGACAAGCCAACTCCACGACCTAACACCTAAACATAAATCGTATATTAAAAAATTGTTTGACTATAAGGTTCAAAAAACTGAAATATATTTCAGCTATTAGCATTATGCCTACCATCTTCCTTAAAGATTCTGTATTAACTAATTCTCCATTATGAGCAACAGCTAATGCTCCGTGTGCAGTGTGAACCACAAATGGTTGACAATTAACTTCTTCGCTTGCTGCACTTGTGCTGTATCTAGTATGACCAATGCCAAGATTTCCACTAAGTTTCTTCATATTTTCGTCGTTAAAAATGTTGTTAATCATTCCCATACCCTTGTGAACATGAAAGGATTTTGAGCAAACACCTTCACTAGTAACAATTCCAGCACTCTCTTGGCCCCTATGTTGTAGGGCAACTAAACCTAGGCAAATATTGTCTCTGTGAAAGAATTGGTGCTTACTTTTAAAAAACAACTAGAAATAGAAAGTATATGGATTAATTTACCTAAACAGATAACTTGACCAACATCAATTTGAGACGGCCAATCGCCAGCAGCAATGCATCCAAAAACACCACACTCATGAGTAAGTCCAGATAAAGATTTTTGATCTTTAGTTTCTTCATCACTATGTAATCTTTTGCCTTTGTTATTCTCTATGGATATTGTTTCAGTCTGAGATTTTATTTGTGTGTTGCAAAACATTTTTATAGTAATCTAAAAAGACAATTCGCTTATTAATTAGTTTAAAATTTACATGTAAAATTATAATTTTATAATAAACAAGTTATACTATTGCATTTAGTTATCCCTCTTCAAAAATATTGAGTTATGCAGTAAACATTACGCAATAGTAACAGAAAGCAAATATTATTTGTATGTTACACAGCATGTATTAGACCCCCTTGAGATTTCTTCCCAATTATCAGCAATGCTCTTGTAAACTATTGACCCCTGCCAAGCTGATAGAACTTCTTTTTCAATGTTACTACTTTACTTTTTTTATATGCTTGCTTAATCAGTATTTCGCAACTGATTTCGTCAGTGTATTACATTCACATTGGTATGCGTACAAGATAGTTGTAAATTAATCTTATAAGTTCAAGCAGTGTTGCAAAAATATTGCAGTTCTTGCACAAAACAGATATTTCGTGATATAAAACATAGACAAAAAAGAAAAGGAAAAAAGATAATATTTATTTATGTAGCAGTAATTAAAAGAAAATAGTTTTTAAATCGTTCTGTTTTGAAATTTATATGCCTATTATTTGTAATTCGTTCTGTTCGGTATGACATGTTCGTGTACATGTACATTTATTTATGTATGCGTATATATATTTTGTATACTACAATATAATGGTACAATTAAATCTAATTTTATTAAATTGCTCAAAATTTGATCATTTGAAGAACTTGTATTCGTAATTATGTATATCATAGACTGTAGCCACTTGTTGAATGAAAACCTTAATTGTAAAACAAAATCAGATATATTGATTTTTAATTCAAATTTTGTGCATAAACCTGTTCTACAGTGTTGGCAGAAGAAAGTATTATCTATACGATTTAAATAATATAAGAGTTCAGGAGTTTAGAGCATGCGTTTACATACCACGTGCGTCAAATGGTTTGAGCGTCGTGATGTTCTCCTGTCCTGTCAGCTTGAAAGAGATCCGCATGAAATGCGACTCTCGACTGGCTTCTAGAGCACGAATGAATACGTAGACCAATGGAAACCTGCTTTTGACTGGGGGGGTTAACTTATTTAGCTATTATCTTACTTTTAAAATTATCGATTTTTTGCTTATACTAATTAACAAAGTAACTGCAATCGCAGAAAGTTTAAGACACTGTTAACTGTAATTCATTTTTCAGTAATGAAATTATGTATATGATCAAGTTTATTATGTAGAATAGTTACTATGTAATACAATTCATCTATGCGCGTCCTATACAATATCTATAGATCCATTGTAAGCGTCGATCACAGTTTGCTTTTTTTCTAAAATATGTTACGCATGAATTCAAGCTTATATAATGATAATATATTATTAATATAACATATATTAATTGCTATTCTCTTTGAAAATGTACATGTTAAACTTATTTCTAATTTATATTTTATTTTGATCAAATAATAAATATATTCTTCATAGTATGTATTTTATGGATTTGTATTGTAATCTGCTATGTCCCGTGGATAAACAAGATAGTATAATAGGAAAGCAAATGAATATTTCTCTCAATTCCTTCAATCTGGATATACATAATTTCCAAATCATGTTTATCTATTCATTGCTGTTCTTATCCTATACATATTTACATTCATTTACCACTTAACCCACATAAGAATAATTTATAAAATTACACCAATCAAATGCAGCAGAATTTTCAAAGTGGGGATTGCTAACGACACGATTAAGCACAATTCTACAAGAGAGAAGCTGGCATTCGAGAAGTAAACGAAGAAGAAGAAACATGGATGGTAAGCAGTAAAACAAATAACAATTATCATGATAACACGCAAATTTTAAATGTTAATTATTGCCATATTTAAAATTTTCATTCACCATTTTGAAAATTGTTCTATTAAAGTTTAATTATCCTTTTGCACGATTGTACATATTACATTAAAGAAATTGATTGTTAGATTTGTGTTGACTAAAATACATGTTTAACATGAACTAAAACAATTTATAATTGATCGATATTATACGATTTCTTGGTATCTAAAAAAGTTATTGTACAAAGAAATACATACATGTGTTTTTTTGAGTTCTATAGATTTTTTTATAGCTTTTCTTATACTATACGAACCTAACTAATAATTCAACATCTTTTTTTCAATTAAAATTTTACAGTAAGCAAATTATTTGAAATTCCAAATGATAATATTTTTTAACTAATTGTATTTGTATAAAACATTTCTGTTTCTGATTTACAGAATATAAACGTGGAGATTTGATCATTGAAGGGAAAACCAAACAAGTGTATGAACTGAAGAATAATCCTGAGTTATGCATTTTAATAAGCAAAGATCGCATCACTGCTGGAGACGGTGTAAAATCTCATAACTTGAAAGGCAAAGCTGCTATTAGCACAGCTACTACAGCTAAAGTCTTCCAATTATTGAAAGAGGCAGGATTAAAAACTGCATTTGTTAAAGTGGTGAATGACACAACTTTTATTGCTAAAAATTGCAAAATGGTACCCATAGAATGGGTTACCAGAAGATTGGCTACTGGTAGCTTCCTGAAGAGACATCCAGGTTAACGAATATAATATAGCATATAAATTAATAAATTATCTGGTGAAATTAAATGTAAACATACTTATATTTATTTTACTATAGGAGTTCCAGAAGGATATAAATTCAATCCACCATTGCAAGAAACATTCTTCAAAGATGATGCTAACCATGACCCTCAATGGTCAGAAGAACAAGTTATTTCTGCAAATTTTATGTTTAATGGAATTAAAATAGGAAAAGATGAGTTTGATATTATGCAACGAACAACTGTTGTTGTATTTGAAATTTTGGAAAGAGCTTGGGCAACTAGAGATTGTGCTCTTATTGACATGAAAATAGAATTTGGTGTGGATATAAATGGTGAAATTATGGTAGCAGATATAATTGATAGTGATTCTTGGAGACTTTGGCCATCTGGTGATAAAAGACTGATGAAAGACAAACAAGTATTTGTTAATACTACTATTTGGATTGTTTCAATATATTTATTATTATTTAATTAAATCTTTCATTCCAGGTATACAGAAACCTAGCAACTGTTACTCAAGAAGACTTGGATGTCGTAAAACGTAATTTTGAATGGGTAGCAGATCAATTAGATCATCTTATTCCCCCAAATAATAGTTTAGTTGTTGTTTTAATGGGTTCACCATCTGATGAGGAACATTGCAAAAAAATAGCAATACATGCCATGTCTTTTGGTTTAAACGTGCAACTTCGCGTGTGTAGCGCTCATAAAGGAACTCAAGACACATTACATATTCTCTCAGAATATGAAGGTATCTCTGAAAAGGTATATATTTACTCCAAAACCGAATTACTTATTTTGTCATAGAATACATATTCTTAAAAATACGAATGATATTATCAGTGTAGCAACAGTGGAGTTAATTCTTTGTTTTTCACTTTCCGCGGATTGTATCCGACCTGTATATCTTTCAAATGTGTATGTCATGACACCATACTATCGCCAAAACATAGTGATAAAACAACCGATATAAACGAATATATGTACTACTTGTTTTTAAGTTATCGTCGGTTGTCTTTCTTTCTCCTAGGTGGTGCTAATAGCTGTAGCAGGGAGAAGCAATGGACTGGGTCCAGTACTGTCTGGAAACACGCCTTTGCCTGTTATTAATTGTCCACCTTTTAAACCAGACAACATTTCACAGGACATATGGTCGTCAATCAACGTACCCTCAGGTGATTTATAATTACGCATTTAATTAGAATTATCATGAACGTATCCAATATTATTAATTATCATTAATTATATTTTATTTCTAGGAATTGGATGCACTACAGTCGCTTATCCTGAAAGTGCTGCGCTTGCAGCAGCTCAAATTCATGCATTACACGATCACCTTGTCTGGTCGCGACTAAGAGTTAAGCAGTTAACCAATTTTGTCGCTTTAAAAAAAGCTGATTCGAAATTACGAAATCTTGTTATTTAATGTTTTTGTGTTGGCTGATGAGTGTTAAAAGACACAAAGGACTTTCATTCATTCTTCAATATACTTGCCAATTAACAGTAACTGTGTTTACTTCTTACAAATACTATATATTATATATTCTTACAAGTTTAATTTGTAATCGATTTAATATCTAAATGTTCATGCTAGCACTCTTTGTATATACAATATTACTGTTTCTCCTCATGATTCTTTATTGGTTACAAGTATATAATATTCATTTGTTTCCACTGAAGCAAATTTTTGAATAACAAAAATGCATACACATTTTCGATACTTGCAATGATAATTTTGTACTGTTACTATGTCATTCAAGAAACAATTTTTTGCATTGATAACTTTGATATGTTAGATGTTTAATCTAAAACGAAACAAATGTATCAAGTTACATTAAATTACATCAACATGTATTGTGACATTAAATGAATGAACGAATCAATAGAAACAAATATTACCATTACAATTACTGGTTTTTACTTGCTAAAGTTTCTATTACCGCAGTTTCCTTTGGACAACTTTCAGTTAATATTACTGGCCCGTTTTCTGTTATCAAAATATCATCTTCAATGCGTACACCTAAACCATGAAATTGTGGTGGTGCAAATTGATTTCTCGAGTTTATGTATATACCTGTAAATATTCATGAAGTAAATGTTGAGTGAATTAAAATAATATATTCGGTTGATTTGTACCTGGTTCTACAGTTACTATCATTCCTGGTTGGAGTTTTATACTTCTAGAAATTTTTCCTGTATCGTGCACATCCATTCCTAAATAGTGACTTACATGATGTGGACAATACATGTATGCAGCTGAAAGTAACTTATCACCGGTCAAATTTGTTGGTATCAATCCAATTTTTTGTAAGCTCGTGCCTAATAAAAAGCACATATCATGGAATAATGAGTCCAACGTAGGCATTTCTTTCAGTCTATAAATTAAAATGTTCTGAATATCTAATATAATATCATATAAAAGTTTTTGTTCTTGCGTGAACTTGCCATTGATTGGCCATGTTCTGGTTACATCAGATGTATAACCATGATATTCGCATCCTAAAAGAAGTATAGGTCTAATAGAGAATATATAAAAATATCCTAAGTAATTTTATATTTATAACAAACCTGCATCCATTAAAACTATGTCCTTGTTTTGAATAAATTGATTATTATTAATGTAGTGAATAATATTAGCATTTTTACCCGATGCAACAACTGGTGGGTATGCTAAAATTTCTGCTCCATTCATACGACATACATAGTCCACAGTTGCAAACAATTGGTGCTCAGTCATTTTTGGTTTTGATATTTCTATTGTTTTAACTATTGCAGTAGAAACAATTTCACAGCTTTTTTTCATTAAATCAATTTCTGATGGAGACTTAATTAATCTGATTTTATGAATTATACTTGTAGGAGAAACAAATTTTTTATTATTAGTTTTTTTCATTAATTCAAGTAACTTTTTATGCAAGTTTTGTTGCACTACATCGTTACTTTCATACCACATAACACATTTATTGTTTTCATTTAGAAATGAAACCAAAAACTGTTCAAACTCTGTTACAGGAAGTGCTAAGTCAATGCCAAACAATCTAGGGGCATCTTCGACTCTGGTTCTAGGTCCATCCCATAATTCAGAATGCTCGTCTGACTGTCTTACAAATAACACAGTTGAAAAATTTTCATTCTTTGCTGTAATTACCAAAACACTGTCCGGGTCTTGACAACCAGTGAAATATAAGAAGTCCGTATTTTGACGAAATACGTACGGGATTTTGTCAGAAATGTATACTTTCGAAGCTGATGGAATAATTACAATATGGGATCCGTCTACATTTGCAACGGAATCATGCAAAAAAATGCTTTCCATCAACTTAATTCGCCTACTTTTAAATTCGTTAAGCTGGATACCTGGTACAACTTCCCCTTTTTTAATCAAATGAGGATGCGTTATCGCGGTTGGTTGACCGCATGCTCGACAAGGGGTTGCAGACAATTCCTCTGATTGACATCGGCTCATATTGTTTGCAAACGTGTTTATCGAATGTCGAATATGTCTTCGTTGTCCTATAATTAGGATTTACCTTCTAATTGCGTACAAGTTTTGAAGATTAACACGAACGATTTCATGCAAATCTTCAAACAACATAACCTATTCCGTAACACTATTTTTATTTCCATTTTATTTACTCACCATATTTTCGTATGTACCGTATGATAGAACCTCTTACGTTGCTAAACATTTTCATGTACCTTGAATTAATATTCTTTCGATCCTTCAATGTATAAAATATTTCGGTTCAATGAATTTTCGAGAGTGTCAATACCTTCGACATCGTACAGTGTATGTACATTGCAAAGTGTTCACTCGTGCTCACAGTCAATTTGTGCGATGCTTCTGTGAACAATGTTGTACACAAAATGTATTTCGTACACATAAATATTCCGAAGAAAAAGTTTGATACATAATCATTATGCGACAAACTATGTATACGAGTATTCAGTGATGTATTACCTGCGCTGTTTTATATTCTTCGCCGATTATCGCGACTTCATTACCGTTCGTGACTGTCGCTCGAATTTTTTTAACGATCAATAGAGAGAGACGAGAAACGAATAACATATTTTCTGTAAAAAATTTAATCTAAGGATGTGATTTGAAAATGCAACATCAAAGAATGCATTTTATTTTTGACGCTTGGCAATGATAGCCTGAACCGATAGTGAATCAATGATTGTTGTTGCAACTTGTCAAACATATACTGTCATTATGGTGCCATTTAAAGATAATTAGCGAATCGAATGGATTTCAGACGATTTGCAACAAGAAGAAACAAATGTATTATAAACTTTGAAATATATTTAGCCGAGAATATCAATGATTCGATTCAACTATTTTGACTAATCGACAATAAGCGTCCGTGCGAAATTACTGAAAGGTTAAATTTAATTTTAAATTGATTCGGAGTTATTTATGCGGTACAAGGCAACAAAGTTTATAAAACCAATTTGAAAACGACAGCGTACATGAAATAAACTACCAGATTTCAATGATAATGCATTTTACTGTGTATTAAAGTAAGGCTTTTATAGGTGCAAAGAGTATGCATTCATATCACGATATGCTGCTAATAACTTAATTTCATGAACTTGAATTGCAAAGTAAAAAGATCAACATGAGTGTTCAACTGGATATTATAGTAAGACCAGAGGTCCGTTTAGATGCCAAATGGCTCAAAACTGATCTGAAGCGTTTACTTTATCGAGATGGTTTGGCTGAACTATGGAATGAAATGATACGGGATGGTGAAATTGTAGGGTCATTTAGCGATGGTTTAATCAATACAGCAGGCATAACAGCTAGGAAGGGTACAATAATGATATTTGTTTAAAAGATTTGATTCTTATGAGCATAGTTTCATAGGTCTCTCTTATTTTTAGGCGAATCTGGACATTATTATTGTAACATGAGAGTGTTGTCATGCTTGTGTTGCGATGGTATTTGTGGTCCACAACACGGCTGTAATTGTGGTCCTTGTCAGAAACTGGATGAAGAAGAATCAACAAGAGCAAATGCTCTAGCAGAGAAAATTACTCCAGCACGTCGCACTATGGATTCTTGGCTCTGGGGTCCTCAACCATGTAAGAATTATCATAGAATTGTCTTTTATCGTTACATGCTATTGAACTCTCTTCATAGGCAAATAATTTTGCAGCTCTGTCCGACCTAACCGAATGCATCGATTTATTAATCAAAGAACAAAGGAAATTGTGTTATGAAGTAGCAAACAGCACATTGTCTTCGACAAGATTAAAACAGCGATTGGTAGTAGCACGACGGTATCTGATGGCCCTTGTTCGTCACAAACCACAGGAGGCCAAAGACATTCCCATGACGCCTAAACCTGCTGCTAAACTGCAAAAAATGTACTCACATTAATTTGTGTTTTCTAGACTTTGTATTATTGTAATACATATGCTTTGTGGAGTATTTAGAACACGATCAGATGTACCGATTGTATCTAATATGTTTAATAATTTTAGGATGAGACCGAATGAAAAGGCAACTTTGGGTTTAGCGCGAGTAGGGTCCCGCGCTGCCCTAAATTTTTCATTCGCGTACCTACGACGAGCCTGGAGATCCGGCGAGGACATAGAGTTTTGCAGCGAGCTACTGTCAGAATCACTGGAAGCTTTACAATCGTTACCGGAAGCGACGCTTTTCGATGAGACAAACGTTTCTCAAGTCTGGCTGGAGGTGGTAGAACGATCAGCGAAATTTTTAAGACAAGTCGTCACAGGGTACATGATTTTTTCTCACTTCACTACTTACAATTAGTAGTATTCGAACGAACCGTTTGGCGATACTAGAAGGTAATTTCGTTCTATTTCCAGGGACATAACTAGTGGAAGATCATGGTGTTCTATACCGTTAACCGATCAGCACACGGCTCTGTGCCTGTTATTGGAATTGGTCACGCAAAGAGCTACTTTATCCAGCTTGTTGGATTCCGTCTGTTTGCTGCTTCACTTAAGCGGCAAACACAAGCATCAAGATAATCGTGTGATACCACCAGGAAGCACAGCGCCGTTGATACCGTTGTTGAGACGACTGAACGCAATCCCGGTTTCAAAATCTAGACGTTCGGATAAGAATATGACGCCGGGTCCATGCGAGGTTCTGCTGAAGTACTTGAGACTGCCAGAGGATGACAGTACGTCCGTTGACTTACGAAAAGCGGCGGTGATTATCATGTGCAATCTAAGCAGGTTGGCCGCTCCTCTGTTGCCTCCGTTGATAACTGACAGATTCCCGAAGAGTCAGAATCAAACGTTTCAAGAAGTTCTAGCCTGGGGTAGCGTGAAATTCGGGAATGGCGCATCTCCGTTTTATTGCGACGCGATCGCGGAGCTTGGTATTAAGCAGCTTTGTTGCACTGAAAGAGCTTTGATGATTTTATCGATCAGCGGCAACGTTTACATGATGTACTATGGTTCCGAGACTCAGTATCCACAAAGGGTGCACGGTTTCTCGGATAAGCCGGTAACAATGATCGCCTCTCACTCGGACGGCAAGCATTATTTGGCTCTGACGCAAGAAAACTCTGTGTACTCATGGGGAAATGGAGACGGCGGACGATTGGGTCACGGAGACAGAACGTGGTATGACGAGCCGAAATTAATCGAGGCACTGGTCGACAAGAACATCACGTTTGTCGCATGCGGAAGCACCTACTCGGCGGCGCTTAGTTCAAACGGCGAACTGTACACTTGGGGACGAGGCAATTATGGAAGGTTGGGCCATGGAAATTCGGAGGATGTGACGGTCCCTACGTTGGTAACCGGTTTGAACGGGCACATGGTTGTGCACGTGGCATGCGGCAGCGGTGACTCGCAAACCCTGTGTGTTACCGCGTCCGGCATAGTGTTCTCTTGGGGCGACGGGGATTACGGAAAGCTGGGCAGAGGGGGTTGCGACGGTTCAAAAACGCCGAAGATAGTGGACAAATTGCTGGATATAAATGTGACCAAAGTGTATTGTGGCGGTCAATTCTCGGCGGCTCTGACTGCATATGGAGAAGTCTACACCTGGGGAAAGGGCGAAGGTTATCGTTTGGGTCACGGGAACGAGGAACACGTCGGTTATCCGAAAGTGATCGAGGCGCTCAAGACAAAGAAGGTGAAGGACTTGTGCGTGGGCAGCTTGCATGTGCTCGCTTTGACGGAGGATCAGCTAGTCTACGGTTGGAGAAGAAACGATTACGGCCAGATCGATCCTGCTCTGGAGAGCGTGGTAGCAGAGCCAACGATCTGCCCGACTTTGTCCGGAAAGAACGTGATAGGGCTAGCCTGCGGGCCGAGTCAGAGTTTCGCATGGTGTACGTCGGCCTGGTCCGTCGCGACCAGGGTACCCTTCGTTGTCGATGTGTCTGAAGACACCTTCCGTCTGCTGGATGCTCTGTTGAACAAGGCTTGCGAGGGTTTGCCGGGTACGCGGCCGCCAACTCAAGATCGCGAGTGCCTGGCCGTGGCCGCATTGAATTTGCTTCGACTACAGCTACATACCATGATAACGCACAACATCGAGACGAAATCTCTGGGGCTTTTCCTCGGTTCTTTAAAGCAACGATGCGTCACGCTGGCCAGTGGCACCGGGATCTTGGCTACGATTCAAGAAGCGGCGCAAGCGGTCCTGCAAACTGGATGGAGCATCCTCTTGCCGACAGCGAACGAGAGAGCGAAGACACTGTCCAATTTTTTGTCCAAGTCAAACGGAAACGACGAGCAGACAATAACAACAGGTGATAGCAACATTATTATCAACAACAACAACAACAACAACGCTAATAACAATACCAATAACAATCCCAATAACAACAACAACACGAACAATACCAATAATAACGCTAACATCAACAATAACAACAATAGCAACATCAATAACAACGGACAACGTTTCATGGCGGATTTGCTGGTGTCCAGTTTGATGGCGGATGGTGGCTTGGAGCTGGCATTGAAGACCGCCATCAAAGCGGAAACAAGCGAGTTGTTCGACGATAAGGGGTTCTTCTCGATGAACGGGACGACGACCGCGAGCAAATCCAGTGATGCTGTTAAGCAAGCGAAGGAGTTCAATTCGGAGAAAAACAACAACACGAGCATCTCGTTGTTGCAGCTGGTAAAACAATTGATCAAGGATGGCACATGCATCACGAGATCGAAGCTGCAGCTGAGCTGGTCGGACCAGTCGATTCGCGGGAACGAGGAACCGTTATCGCGTCAGAGGAACGACGCCTCGCCAAGTCTGAATCTTCTACTCAAGTTCCAACGATTGGTGGTGGCAAGGTTCTACGATTGCATTCATCAGTCGAGATCGGAGAATTCGCGAGACCAGGAGATGCTCGGGGCAGAGTCGCTTTTAAGCAAATACATATCCCTGATTTCTGTTCACGTGACCGACATCGCGTCGCTCGCTGCTGAACTAGCAAACATCAGTCTGAAGCAATTCGTCTTTGTCTGCACTGTCCTGAAGGGAGACATTATCCACGTCTTGCTGCCGGAGCTCGTCACGTGTCTGATTCTGTTACAAGTCGATTATCCGATGCTGCTGCTCCAGATGAACTGGATGGATCGAATTGGGCCGATGCTGGAAGCGCTCGATCGGTTCAACAAGCTGATTCCGGGAATCGAGAGGAACGAGGCAGATGAGCTATCCTGGCCGGGCATCATAGCCCCACAGCACAGCAACAAGACTTCTATCTCGGACGAATTGTCCGTGATTCGATGGGCCGATCTAGAAAATCATAATCGGGACGGCGGTCTTTGGGTGGTGGTCAACAACAACGTGTACGACGTTCAAGACGTAGTGCGGTTCGAGGCGGCCGCCAATACTTCGGAGGAAGGTATTCGTGAAAAGATCGCGTTGGGATGGGATTCCAGTCATTCCGGTGTTTCGAGCACACCTCGCAGTCAACAGCAGCAACAACAACAGCAACAGCAACAACAATTGCCAGTGCTACCGCGATCCATGATGGATTCGTATTTTGTCGGGCATTATTGCCATTCTGAGCCGGAAAACACCGAGATCACGATCCACGCGACAGATGTGTGCTCCTCTTTGCTCGACACTGAACGTGCTCTCGGCTTTCTTTTAGGATTGCACGCGCATCGAATGCGTCAGAGCTTACCACTACAGCCGGCTGAAGAGGAGGCCGGGGTTTGGTTAGATGCTAATTTCTTCCGAGGCGGTTTGCAGATTCTTCAGCCGCCGAATCCGTACGAGGAGGAGAAAGGGGAGGCGAGGAGCAACACCTCGACGGCGGCGAATTCGCCGACGGAGCCCCAGCTTCCGGTTCGCACGAAGAATGAGCCGCAGAAGGAAAAGGATGACCGCGCGACAGCGTTCGTACACGCGCTGGCTGAAACCCATAGAACCGAGCCGCAGGTTCACGCGTTTCTCGCAATAGTTGACAAGTACTCGAAAACGAACAACTTGTTGGCGCACACGGAGTTCTCTGGCGATCATCCGGTCGAGGAAGTCGGTCGTTTACTGATGGCGGTGATGATAAAGCATCTTGGGCTAGGGTACCAGGCCATCGAGACGATTGATCAGGAGGTGACGGGGAACGGAATCAACGGGAAACTTCCGAAACCGTTAGCTGACATGATTCGAGCGATTCATCAGACCAAGTGGAATTTTATCCGTATCAGACAGCAACAGAACAGAAGCTACAAAGAGGTGTGCGCGCCGGCGCAAGAGAAGTGCAGATTCCTGCTGCACGAGGTCCGGTCCGCGACTAGCTACGAGATCAAGGGATTGCGAGACACGAAACTGTTGCATACGGTGTCGAGGTTCAAGAGGGCCGTGAGAACGGTGATAAGGGACATCGTTCGCGGGAACAAAGGATCCCCGAGCAAACCGGAGGACATTGTGAATGTCTCGATCCAGAACGGCAAGATCCGAAAAAAGTCGGAGGATGATGCGACGCCGAAGGAGGGCACCGTTTCTGGTAAACCTTCTCCGTCTTCGCCCTCCAAGTTGGAGAACACCTCGGATACAAGAAAACGAATCGGCAAGATCATCGAGAAAATCAAACAGAAGCCGTTGAATATCGATGCGACCGAGCTGATGGCTAATATAATTAATTTCGTGGTCACCGAGGACGGAGCGGACGTGGAGACTTTACGCCGAGCAATGTACTGTCAGACGCAGCGGGCTAAGTTACGGGAACAAGGAATTCTGATGATGCAAGAACTGCTTGGCAAGGATAACCTAATCACATCAGTCAAGTATTCGTTGCTGAACGGTTGGCTCGGCTTGACCCACGAGAATACCCACCTCGGCGAGGAGACCATAGCGCACTGTCTCGACAACATTCAATCGATAACGCCCTACCAGAAGTCGAGGATCATTTTGTCTGAAGCGGAGGTGACATCGTGGGCGGTGAAGGCGTTGCGAGCGTACGTTGTTCAAGCGGAAGTGCCAAGCAAACCGAAGATTAGTGACAAGAGCAGCCTGAACCAGGGCACGTACACTTGGCTAAGAAAGCTGCCCAGAGCCAGGTTCTTGCTGACGATATTGGGCATGTTGACCAACTATCAGCACGCCAACGAGATCGGACTACTGATCAATTCTGGCACGTTGTCCAGCGTTTTAACGTTGCTCAGGCAAATCGGACCTGCGGCGGCGACCACGACCGTAACCACAAACACGAATGTAACAGCGAATGTCAACGTGAACGTCAACACGAACGTAAACGCGAACCCAAACGTAAACACGAATGCAACCGCCGCGACGTCGTCGATGGGAATAAGACCGGCAATCGGACCAGAAGTGGATGAGTTCAAGTCCAAGGACACTACGACAGCAATATATGAAGACGCGTTCGAATTGAGCAAACCGCCGAGCGTACAATTGACCGGGATGGATCTGGCGGCTCTGATGAAGGTCGGAACTCGCGTGGTTCGCGGGGAGGATTGGAAATGGGGTGATCAGGACGGTACTCCGCCTGGCGAGGGTCGTGTTATCCACGAACCTGGCGTGGACGGTTGGATTCGAGTTCAGTGGGACAACGGTACTACGAATTCGTATCGCATGGGCAAGGAGGGCAAGTACGACTTGCAGCTAGCTGAACCATCGACGGCACCGGCGACCGACAGCGACCTTGACACGCCGCTCGACACGGTGAAACCAATTTCTAACTGTCGCACGGCTGGAGACCCGGTGCCCGATATTCATCCGACCACTTGCTTGAAATCCGCCTCCCTCGCATTACTTCGCGTTTTACTGCTCTGCTGCGGCATAGTAGCTGACAAGGTGACACCGTCCGCTATAAAGACGCTCGCTTCTGTGTTGCGAGGCGTAACATCAGCCGCGCACAAAGCCGACTCGATCGCCGCGATCCAGTCCTGTCAGCCCTCGCAAGAATCTTCGGAAACCTGGGCGACGCTGAGCATGCTCAGAGCAATTGCCAATTCTTCTGAGGTCTGTAAATCGTTGAGCACCAAGCCTTGGATCGATTTCCTCTTGAACGTGATCGGGGAAGAGCGAAACTCGAACTTGGAGAAACAGATAATGGCGGTGAGATTGTTGAGCACCGTTCTACCTTGCTGGTCCGCCGAAAATCCGAACGCCGTGCCGTTTCTCGAAAGAACGTTCCGCATAATTGGTCGCATCGCACTCTCCTGCGATCTCGGCTCCTCGTCCGAGCCGTATGCGAACAGGTGTCGCGTGTCCCTCACGGCTTCTCACAGCTCTACAATCGTCGAGGAACTAGTCTCTCTAATCAGGTATCTGCACACAGTTTCGAATTGGAACGCAACGGTGAACGCGTTCCTCGCATCTAAGTTGTCTCTGGCTTCAGACCTGCTGAGTGACGGACCCCTCTTTCATATACAAGTCAACGAGAACGGGGGCGAGAACAGCTTGAGCATTCAGCAAACGGTGATTGCGACTCTCGTCGTGATCGGTGGACTCGACAATAGGCCGAGAATCGGAGATTTGGTCGAGGTGGACGGACAAATTGGCACGATATACAGGTTCACCAAGCATGCTAAAGTTCTCACGAAGATGCACGACAGCGATATCCGTCACAAGTTGCCGTTTTTTTCCGTGAAACGAGTTGGTGAGAAATTTCGTTTGGATCGCATGCCGATGCCGGACTCGTTTCTGCCGACCTGGGCGAACCTGCTACTCGGTCATCGCGGATTGGACAAACGACCAAATGGGATGCCGGTGATAGCTGGCACCGTCAACCCGTCCATTTTACGTACTCAGCAGCAACAGCTTGCCGCCTTGAATGCGGGGAAGTCGGTTCTCGATCACCAGACCAAATTGCGAAAGATTCTGCGACAGCCGATCAATAAAAAAAACGAGTGCAGCGCGAATGATGAGGATCTCGGTGTTCCTAGGGTTTCCGCGATGCATGCCAGTAACAGAGGTGCCGAAAATAACAGCGAGAACAGGCGTAGAAGGCTCGTTAGGGGTCGCGGTGTCGGTCGTGGTGTCTGTACCGGCATTGGCATTAGCGCCAGCGTCGGGATTGGTGTCTGCTCTCGTCGTCCTCGTAACCATACACATGCGGCACGTCTGGAACCCGTCAACGGTCCTGCTCGAGACATTGCCATTGCCAGCCTTGGCAACGATGACGATAACGACGGGGAGAATGTCAACGACGATCTCAACAACGAGAACGATCGCATCGTCGATGAGGAGGAAAGGGACGACGACAACGATAACGAGGATGACCACAACGAAGAGGACGACGAAGATGACGAAGACGATGATGATGACGACAACAATAACAAGGACGAATTGAACGACGAACAGGAGACCCGAGAGGCCGAGGGCTGTTGGAATGGTGATGCCTCGAGACACGCGCTGCCAAACATCAACATTAACGCCGACGTCGACATCAATAACGATCCTTACCGCGATCAAGATCACGATCACGATAATCGAATCGACAACGACCACAACGAGAACGATAATCACGCGGAAGATGGCGAGGCTTGTCGCGACCGACGGGTCACCTTGTTCCAGGAGATGCTGCTTCGGGCCACTAGACCACAACCCTTAAAACCTATCTTCAAGCGGAAAGAATTGGAAGTAGCCGCATTGTCGGTGTCACAGTATCTAGCTTCGGAATTGAGTCATTCACCGATCCAGCGAGTCGGCGGTGGTCCGATCTCGGAACCCGAATCACCCGCTTCGGATTGTTCGTTAGTTTCGCTGACTTCCAGTCAGAAGAAGCACTGTAGAAGCAGTGGTAACGGTCGGAAGAGTCCTCCGCCAATGAGTCCGCTAATAGCGCAGCTGACAGAGATGGGTTTCCCGAAGAAGAGCGTTGAATTCGCGATCAAAAGTCTAAGCACCGCGGTCGGCTACATCACCGCGGAAAGTGTGGTATCTTGGCTGCTCGAGAATCCGGACGCGGCCTTGAGCGACAGCGAGACCTTGTCCAGCGTCTACGGATTGTCGGATCCGGAGGACTCGACCAGCGAGAACATCGACGACTCGCCATCAGCGAATGACGCTATCTCTTCGACGATGCCGCCCAACTACATGAAACGGTCTGATTTTCTGTCGGTCGACGAATATGCGACCTACGTAAGAGACAACCTAATCCCGGGCATGTTAGTGCGGTGCTGCAAGAGCTACGAGGAGGTCGAGTACGGGGACGTGGGACAGGTGACTAAGATCGACCCGGGAGGCCTGCACGATCTGAACGTGCAGGTCGCGTGGCAACGAAGAGGCGGCACCTACTGGGTCCGATTCATTCACATCGAGCTGTTGGGCCATCCGCCGACAATTCCTGGCGGCCCGGCGACACTCAAGGTCGGTGACAAGGTCCGAGTCAAGGCGTCTGTTACAGTACCAAAATACAAGTGGGGATCGGTGAACCATCAGTCGGTTGGAGTCGTGACGGGCATTATAAATGATGGGAAAGATGTGTCCGTCGACTTTCCTCAGCAGAGCTTCTGGACCGGATGCGCGGTAGAGATGGAGAGGGTGCCGTCTTGCCACCACTCGGTTTCCTGTAACTCCTGTCATCTCCTGCCGATCTCCGGTCCCCGGTTCAAGTGCAAGTACTGCGAGAATTACAATCTCTGCGAGAACTGTTTCTATACGAAACGGTGTCATAGGCACGGGTTCAGCCGGATCGTCGAGCCTGGATCGGCCGCGGTTTACGCCGGCAAACCGGGCAGATACCATAGGCAAGACTTTTCGGAATCTTCCCTGATTGATGACTGGTGCAAGTGCATTCGAACGCTGACCGTGTCCTCGAGGGAAAACTGGGCCGCTCGACTCGTCGACGAGTCTGGCTGGTACTGGCAGAGTTGCGGCGTCCAGGGTCAGCACTGGATTCGTTTGGAGATGTTGCCTGGCATTCTGATACACTCGCTCAAGCTCATGGTGAACCCGCAGGACGGTAGCTACATGCCGTCGCTGATAGCGGTGCATGTCGGCGATTCCTTCAGTCGACTAGCCGAACTGGCTACGATCAATGTATGGCACACCGATACCAGCGTTCTGCTTCTACAAGATAGCAAAGAGTATTACCCGTGCATCGAGATCGCGATCAAGCAATGTCGGAACGGTGGCATCGACTGCAAGATACACGGGCTCCGAATCGTTTGCAAGAAGAAGATCTTCGAGAACCAGCTGGCCACCTCGGTCTCGTTTCTGGCGTCCGACTGGGAGATCGTTCAGGAGCAGATGAACGCGCAGCGGCCAACAGAGGCGCCGCAGCACTCGGCGGTCTACGTCTGGGGATTGAACGACAAGGACCAGCTAGGCGGTCTGAACGGTTCCAAGATCAAGCGGCCGATCTACAGCGAGGTTCTATCCAAACTAAAGCCCATATACATCGCCGGCGGTAGCAAAACATTGTTCGTGGTAAGCCAAGAAGGAAAACTGTACGCCTGCGGCGAAGGAACGAACGGCAGACTCGGTTTCGGCGACGAGAGCAACGTCTGCGAGCCGAAGCCGATACCGTTTCTTAGCCAGTACGTAATCAGAAAAGTGGCGGTGCATTCGGGCGGCAAGCACGTTCTTGCACTGACCAAGGACGGCAAGGTGTTCTCCTGGGGTGAGGGAGAGGACGGGAAACTGGGCCACGGTAACTGTCTAACCCTGCCGAAACCGAGGCTAATCGAGTCTTTCAAGTCGAAGAGGATCCGAGACATTGCCTGTGGCTCTGGCCATTCCGCCGCCGTGACCAGCAGAGGAGAGCTCTACACTTGGGGCTTGGGGGAGTACGGCAGGTTGGGTCACGGGGACACCGCCACCCAGCTCAAACCGAGGCTGGTGCAAGCGTTGATAGGTCAACGAGTGATACAGGTCGCCTGCGGTAGCAGGGACGCACAGACGATGGCCTTGACCGCCGATGGCTCGGTCTATTCCTGGGGCGACGGAGACTTCGGCAAGCTCGGCCGTGGCGGCAGCGACGGTTGCTACACACCTCTTCTGATCGACAGGCTAAATGGTCTGGGAGTCGTGCAGATCGAGTGCGGGGCACAGTTCTCCCTCGCATTGACCAAGTATGGGGAGGTCTGGACTTGGGGCAAGGGTGACTATTTTCGGTTGGGTCACGGCAACGACCATCATGTTCGAAAGCCCACGCTGGTCGAAGGTCTGCGGGGCAAAAAGGTGATCCATGTCGCCGTCGGCGCTCTGCACTGCCTTGCGGTCACCGATACAGGACAAGTGTTCGCGTGGGGCGACAACGATCATGGACAGCAAGGGAACGGCTCAACGGCCGTCAATAAGAAACCGTCGCTGGTAAATGAGCTCGACGACACCCGGGTGAACCGCGTGTCCTGCGGCTCCAGTCATAGCATTGCTTGGGTTCTGACGGATCAGCCTGCTGTCAGTAATCAGGACCCGGTTACGTTCTCAACAGCTAAAGATCCACTTGGACAGACCTTGCTACGATTCAAAAGCACAGCCGGAGAGGCCAGCGCAGCCTGTGCTTCGTTTTGTTCGACGAACGGATTCAGCGTTATCACCGGTAGCAGCAGTGGTAGCGGTAGCGGTAGTGGCAGCGGCAGCGCTAGCTGCGGTGCTAGCGGCGGTGGTAGCGGTAGCAGTGGTACCGTCGTCGTTCCCGGCACCAGCAACGGTATCTACGACGACCCTGCGGTTGCGAGCGGTTCACGCAATGGTGCAAATTCCAATGGCGTCTTGGGTACCGCCAGTCGACCCTCTCTCGCGAGCATCATCTTGTCACTGGAAAGTAACGTGGCCAAACAGCAAGCGCTGCAGCACGTGATAAACGCGCTTCGCATAATGCAAGCTCGCATCGCTGTAGTGACCGCGTTGCAGAGTCACTCAATGTTGAAAATTACTACTGGTGCACAAGCCAGCGGTTGCAACGGAAGCGGATCCGGCGATGTTACAGGATCTTACACTCCCGCTGTCGAAGCGTCATCGGATACGGGAGCAATTGGAGCGGTTGGAACGGTCGTAGCAGTCGCAGGAGGTGTTGACGAGACCAGCATCGGTACCGGAGCAGGACACGCCGTCTATCAAAATGTTGGAGAGAGCTCGCAGGGCGGCGGCGAGGCACCAGCGAATGCTGCCGAAGTTGCCAGCTTGATCGCTAATCCTAGGACCAGTCCTGAGTCGGAGGACTATCCGCTGACCATGTTTCCATCGATGTCCAGCTCGGCGAGTTTGTCCTCTAGGGCCTCGAAGATGTCGAGCAGCGCGATGAGCGTGATCGCGGCGACGCTAACGTCGAACGCGCAGCTGGTCGGCGAAGGAAACGGTTCAGTAGATTCGAACCTGGACGATTTCACGTCGACGATAGCCGAGGAAGATGCGAGGATGCTGGTCGATCTCCTCAAGCTAGCAGTGGCGAATCGAGTCTGCAAGGGAGCCAGGGAGATCATCTCGTCGGTGCTGATCGCACTCGCTAAGACGAATCACTCGATTCGAACCATGATCTTGGAGATTTGCATCACGGAGCTGGAGGATACGGTAGCTAGTTCGAACAATGGGACAAACCTGCCTCAGCCGGTGGTACAGGAAAGTCCACACCCCTATATAGACGGCACCACGTTGACCGGTCATGTGAAAATTCCCGGCGCGGAAGCCTTGAGGGTCGAGTTCGATCGCCGATGCTCGACCGAGCGACGCCATGACCCTTTGGCATTTATGGACACCAACAACAGGGTAATAGCGGTTAAATCCGGCCGGGAGTATAGTGAATGGGCCAACGGGGAGATCCGTGTGCCAGGAGACGAGCTCAGGTGGAGGTTCTCGTCGGATGGCTCCGTGAATGGCTGGGGATGGCGATTCACCGTATATCCGGTGTTCGCGAGTCTTTCGGGTCACGAACTGATCTCGGACAGGGCGGTCCTCTCACAACCGGCCATTGGTTTGGCTGAGTCGCTGCTAGACAACGGTTTGATCGGGTTGGACAGGAACGTCGCGACTCGGCTGGCAGCTACTCTGGCCCAGTGCAGTCAGCTGAGCGTGTTATCGGCCCAGCAGCGTATATGGGCGCTCAAAAAGTTGCAGGTCGTTTATACGAGCGGTCCCAGCATCCGACCGGAAGTCGCACTCACCACTCTGCTCGGGTCTCTGCCTCAAGCTTTGTTGAAACAGTACTTTTACGAAGATCCATTAGTTCGAGGAGGAAAACAACTGATGCACAGCGATTTCTTCAAGGTGCTGGTTGCTCTTGCTTGCGACATTGAATTGGACGGGATGCACTGCTGCTCGGAGATCCACAAATGGTCTTGGTTTCGAAGGTTCTGCCTCTCCGCGAGGGTCGCCAAGGCACTGGTGAACCGTACGCCGCTTCCAAGAATATTCTGTGTGGAAGTCATCAAGCGCATCAATGAGATGAACTCAGACGGAGAGACAACTAACAGAGATCACGAGAGTCATGAGCTGTTCAAGCAGGAACATGACGAGCAGTTGTTGCTGTGGTTGAACCGAAGACCGGAAGATTGGACGCTGTCGTGGGACGGTTCCGGAGCGATTTACGGCTGGGGACATAATCATCGAGGGCAATTAGGTGGTCTCGAGGGAGCCAAGGTGAAGTTGCCGATTCTGTGCGAGAGTCTGTCCGCTCTTCGACCGGTCCAGCTTACAGGCGGAGAGCAAACCTTGTTCGCCGTCACCGCTGATGGAAAAGTCTATGCGACCGGTAACGGTTCCTCTTTCCCTTACTTGTCTTAGAAGTTTACTGAGTTTACTCTGGACTGTTTTCGTAGGATACGGTGCGGTCGGTCGACTCGGAATCGGAGGCACCGACTCCGTTACAGTACCCACTCTTTTGGAGTCCATTCAGCACGTGTTCGTGAAAAAAGTTGCGGTCAACTCCGGGGGGAAACACTGTCTCGCGCTCAGCTCTGAGGGTCACGTATATTCGTGGGGAGAAGGCGACGATGGTAAATTGGGCCACGGGAACCGATTGTTCTACGACCGACCGAAATTGATCGAAGATCTTCTTGGAACCGAAATCCTAGACATTTCTTGCGGCGGCAACCATAGCGCGGCGATTACCAGTACAGGCTGGCTCTATACCTGGGGAAAAGGTGATGCTACTGCGTCTTCATCTTCCAGTTTGTTTAGTATTTCACGCTTCGCGTTCATTTAGGTCGATATGGACGTCTGGGCCACGGAGAAAGCGATGATCAGCTGACACCTAAACTGGTGGAAGCGTTACAGGATTATAAGGTGATCGATGTCGCCTGTGGAAGCGGAGACGCGCAAACGCTTTGCGTCACCGATGATGACAACGTTTGGAGCTGGGGGGATGGGGATTACGGGAAATTAGGCAGAGGTGGCAGCGATGGTTGTAAGATTCCCATGAAGATTGAGTCTCTCGCAGGACTCGGAGTGATCAAAGTCGAATGCGGCAGCCAATTCTCAGTGGCCCTGACAAGATCGGGAGCGATTTATACGTGGTACCGTGTTTCATTCGTTTCATTTTCGTTGGCTCTGGGATAATTGCTATATGGTAAAACGTTATGCAGGGGCAAAGGAGACTATCACCGGCTAGGTCACGGCACGGACGACCACGTTCGAAGACCGCGGAAAATAACGGCGCTTCAAAGTAAGAAAATCATCTGTATAGCGACAGGTTCGTTGCACTGCGTGGCTTGTTCCGACAAAGGAGAGGTTTTCACGTGGGGGGACAACGACGAAGGTCAGCTGGGCGATGGGACGACAGGTGCCCTTCAACGACCGAGACTGGTTCGCGCGCTGCAGGGCGAAAAGATTACGAGAGTCGCTTGCGGAAGCGCGCACACCGTTGCTTGGAGCACCACGAAAGCCACGCAAACCAAAATGCCCGCTGTCACACCGATGGAATACGACCTGGTCAAAGATCTTCCGTTCTCCGTACTGCACAACCGACTGGTGCTCTTGCACCACTTCGCTGAACTACTTTGCCCGTGTCTACCAATGTATCCGATCACCGGGCCTCTTAGTCTCAGCAAATTGGCACCAATGCTGGTTTATAGCATCAAAGAGGCAACCTTCCGCAAAGTGGTCCAAGCGACGATGGTCAGAGACCGACAACACGGTCCGGTGATCGAGTTGAATCGAATACAGGTGAAACGGGCAAGAAGCAAAGGCGGCTTAGCTGGACCCGACGGCATCAAGTCGGTCTTTGGACAGATGGTGTCGAAAATGTCTCTGCTGACTCAAGATGTCCTTTTCTTCCCGCATAGAGTATGGAAGGTGAAATTCGTCGGTACGTAACTAGAACGCGAAAATAAATATAGTAGAACTCCATTTATATGAACTCGGCGGGTAAGTCCGAGTCCTGCGAGATACTCAATCTTCATGGGAACCTTTCATCCATCACTGCCACCTACTGTATGAATAGTAGGAGTCCGCTGAATTCGCGTTCAGACAAATGGATTTATCTAAACAAACAAAAGAAAACGTGCTGAGTTTACATTCATTTACGTTCGCATTACCTAGGTAGGTGTCCATATAATTGGAGTAACGCTCGACAATAGTACAAGTAATAGGAGCTCAGCAGCACGGGCATTGTCCAAAATTTCGTTCCAATAAATTGAGTTCTACTGTAATCCCAAACTGATCGTTACGATTGCTATTTTCAACAGGAGAAAGCGTGGATGACTGTGGTGGCGGATACAGCGAGAGTATAGCGGAAATGTGCGACGAGTTACAAAATGGTTCTTTACCGTTGTTTATACCGACTCCGAACGGTCGAGAGGACAACGGCACCAACAGGGATTGCTTCTTGTTGAACCCGACCGCAGATTCGTCTCTACACTTGAACATGTTCCGGTTTCTTGGAATCTTAATGGGTATAGCGATAAGAACTGGCAGTCCGTTAAGCTTGAATTTGGCTGAACCCGTGTGGAAGCAGCTAGCGGGTAGCCCCTTAACGCCAGCCGACCTGACCGAGGTTGACAGGGACTATGTTCCTGGGTTGTTGTGCATTCGAGACATGGACCCCGACGAAAAAGTCTTTCAAACTCTCGAGATGCCGTTCTCGACGCCGTCGGCCGTAGGTCACGACGTACCCTTGTCGAACAGGTAGATGAATCTATTTAGATAACATCGATAATATTCACAACAATTACATTTACTTCAGATATCAAAAGATCACTCCGACGAACAAGCACGAGTATGTTCGACTGGCCTTGAACTACAGACTACACGAGTTTGATGCACAAGTAAACGCGGTGCGCGACGGGATGTCCAAGGTGATTCCTGTACCTTTCCTCGCTCTATTCAGCGGGACCGAACTGGAAACGATGGTCTGCGGCAGTCCAGATATTCCGCTTACTCTATTGAAATCTGTCGCAACGTATAAAGGTACAAGAATCGCCGTGTTATTATTTTAACTGCAGGACAATTCCGATCGTTTTTTGATTTCTCAGGCATCGAGGCAAGCGCTCCATTAATACAGTGGTTCTGGGAAGTGATGGAGGACTTCTCCAATCAGGAGAGGTCTTTGTTCCTGCGATTTGTTTGGGGAAGGACTCGTCTGCCGCGTACAATAGCTGACTTTCGCGGTAGAGATTTTGTTCTGCAGGTAAGGCGCGGTTGTTGCCTTCTCATTCAATCAGATTTCAATTCGTTTAATCTGTCGTAAACTTTCTTTCCCCTAGGTGATGGACAAATACAATCCGCCCGATCATTTTCTTCCCGAAAGTTACACCTGCTTTTTCCTGTTAAAAATGCCACGCTACTCGTGCAAGCTGGTACTCTGTCAAAAATTGAAATACGCGATACATTTTTGCAAGAGTATCGACACCGATGAGTACGCCAGAGTTCAAGCTGCTACCAATTCCGACACCGAAGAAACCGACAGCCTAGCCAGCGAGGAGCACACTTCGCTTTAACGAAATTGATGCTAAACCGTTTTTCGATTCCGTTGATGCATTAGCAAATAACGTCGATACGGACTCACCGATACCGATCATCCTGCATCGGTATTGTTCGTAAGTATGATATTTCCCTTTGTCGCATTGCAATTCGCTCGTACCGAAGAAAAAGGATGACCTTTTGCCTTTTCTCCGTTTTTCTTTCTTTTTTTAATTCCCGTTCTGCTAGATATAGTTGAATCGATTGCAACGAACCGTTTAAAACTGTACACGATCGCTCGATCTCGTAAATCGTAAGATTCCTGTTGACGACAGTACTAGATTTCGATCGGCAAGTAATGCCGATTTATATTACATTCGAAACAAATGAGTTCTAGCGTCCGTCCCAGGTATACTTGGTTGTGTGGCTACACAAAGCTCTTTTTTCTTCGAAACGTCGAATTTTTTCAACCAATGTAAGGTCTCCTTTTGGTTTCGCATTAATAATCGTTGACATCTTCGAAACAACCCTAAAATATTTCGTATCGGCACATTTTGATAATTCGTGAATATGCAACTATATATTATCGTTATTATTTATTGTCCAGTTGATCTTCAATAAAATAACCCAAATATTGTACATATATAGTTATGGATGGGCGTGCATGTATATGAGAGATACACAGAGAGAAAGAGAGAGAGAGAGAGAGAGAGAGTGAAAGAGAGCGCAAAAGAGCGAGAGAGATACGACGCGAGCGCGTATGTAATACTGTATCGTGTCAAGTATAAATAAGTAAACATACTCTAACGAAAGATCTGAGATAGCAAAATGTGCTTTCAATGGCAAGATAAAACAACCGATGCTTTAGTTTACAGATAATAATAAAAACTTTTAAACGAGTAATAATGTGGTGTTTTAAATAGCGAATTGCCGAGACAAGTCGCTTCTCATTTTTCAGGATAAATCACTTTGGAAATTTTTCCAGTCTGCAACAGATAATATCCTACTCAATCGCTTGACGCGCATTAATAATTCACGCGTAATGATTATTAGTTAAAAAATATTAAGTTCAGTAACTAACGAAAGCTAATTTTGAAACAAATAAAAGTTTATGCTCGTATTGCAAGATTAAGACAAGAAAAACATCCCATCGAGAAATAGATTACTTTCCTATGGATTCGTTTATATTGCACAAACAATGATATCGTAACGAACAAACATATTACACTGGCAATTTCGATAATAAAAAATGGGAAAACAAAAACTTTATAATGATAACGTATGACGAAGAAGCGTTGCATCAGTGACCAACAACTGTGACATACGTGCAGTCCACGGTGAAACTGTTGGGAAGTATACTACTCAAATAGTATGTTTCGTCTAATAAAGGCCAAGGTATGACTATAGAAGTTGTTTTCTACTTAGAAAGATCAAATCGCAAAATTTTCAACGAATCATTTCTAGGTAAATACAAGATGTATCGGCAGAACGAGATCGGTAACAACATCACAGTGGGCCCAAACTTCATCGGTACGACTACCAGACTACGCGGACGTTGTAATAATCGGTAAATCTATTGAATGTTGATCTACGAAATCTAATATTGATCTCTATGAACAAACCGCACTGTAATAAATGTCTAATATCTGGATAATAATGATTGTTTATAGGTGGCGGGAGCGCCGGCTGCAACGCGTTGTATCACTTAGGAAGATCGGGCATCAAAGCCGTTCTAGTGGATAAATCAAAATTAATATCCGGTACTACGTGGCACACCGGAGGTCTTGTATGGGGTATACGTGGACCATACGACGTCGAGATGCAACTGCTCAGCGCCAGTAAACGCGTGCTAAACCGTTTAGAGGATGAAACCGGTGTCCATCCAGGCTGGATCAACAACGGTGGACTTATAATCGCCCGTACTAGCGTGAATATTCGTGAAATCTCCTATTCTAGTCCTATTACTTATATTATGGAAGATATTTTTTACAATCGATGTTGTAGGGAAGACTGGAAGAATGCAAAAGGCTCGTTAGCGCATCAAACGCTTTCGACATCGGAGCGCGACTAATCTCGCCTAAAGAGACAAAAGACTTGTTTCCTCTGCTCGACGAGAACTGCTTTCGAGCAGCGATCTACTCTCCAACTGATGGAGTCATCGATCCTTCCATGTTGATAAATGCTTTAGTCAAATCGGCAAAGAACAATGGTTGTCAGGTAAGGCAGGTTCCTCGAGTTTTTAAACTAATAAAACTTTTCTACAGGCTGTTATTGTTCTATTGTTTACAGGTGATCGAAGATTGTCCGGTGACAAAGATATTGACGAACGACATCGATACGAATAAGAAGAAAGTTCGCGGTATCGAGACGCCCTATGGAATCATAAAGAGCGACGTTGTGTTAATCGCTGCAGGAGTTTGGTCAAAAAAAGTTGCGAACACGCTGAATTTGGACATCCCTTTAGTACCGATCAAACACGCTTACATCGTTACCGAACCGATGACTGAAGTGAAACAACAATTTCCGAACATTCGGGACCCGGATGGCAGCCTATACTTTCGAGTTCAGGGAAGCACGATCGGAGCAGGTTATTACGAACGATGTCCAATTCTAATAGGATCCGTAAGTTTTTGTTGACTCTGTTCTCTCTATTCTGTCAGCACGTTTATGCAATCTCTATTATATAAAAGGCACCTGATAACTTCTCGTTCAGTCTGTACGAACTGGATTGGGATATTTGCAGTCCATACATGGATTCCATGACTGAACTAATTCCTAAATTATCCACAACCGGAATAAGAACGACCGTGTGCGGTCCAGAAAGCTTCACGCCCGATCATAAGCCACTTATGGGTAAAAATTTAAGACTAGTCCAAGAAATCAAATTACTATTTTCTCACAATAATTTGTTGAGTTATTTCAAATTGAACTTATTAATATATTCCGTTTAAAAGGTGAGGACCCACGGTGCAGCGGACTGTTTTATTCTTGTGGTTACAATAGCGCAGGCATGATGTTTGGAGGTGGATGCGGAGAACAAATTTCACGTTGGATTATAAATGGCCGTCCAGATAATTACATGTTTAATTACGACATTAGAAGGTACTTGTGTCAATCGATTCTATCACAGTACATTATTCGTATCGATTATCATCTCTTAGATTTATCATGGAACAGAGGAACAATTTAACTTGGATGACCGAAAGATCCTACGAGGCATATGTGAAGAATTATAACATTATATTTCCGCACGATGAACCATTGAGCGGTAGAAATCTCAAAACAGATCCTTTCCATAATGTAAAGTGCCGTAAAAAGATTTTTGGTTTATTTAAATTCTTGCCGATGTTGTGCATACAAAGGATTTCTTTATTGCAGCTACTTGTTGAAGAGGGTGCTATTATGGAAGAACGTCAAGGCTGGGAGCGACCGGGATGGTTTTATCCGAGTCATAAGGTTCAGATTATACCATATAATTACGAAAAGCTATCTGTAACGCCTGGAAACGAAAGAGATGAATATCGTGAGATATTAGAGAAAGAATACAGTTTCGAGCTTTCACCGTTTGATAATATAGTAAGTTGAATTAATCAACAATGACTGTATCGATAAACATCAACAATACGCATTTTCGGTATTTAGATTAAAGACGAAGCACTTGCCTGTCGAAACGACGTCGCTTTATTCAACATGTCTTATCTTGGAAAATTTTATCTATGTGGTCCAGAAGCACGAGAAGCAGTCGATTACTTATTCACGGCAGATACACGTTGCAATACGAATAAAGTAATTTACACGTGTATGCTCAATAAGGCCGGTGGAGTAGAAATGGATTCCACAGTTACTATTATAGAACCCGGTTCAGGCGAAATTATAAATCCAATATTTAAAGACACAGGCTTCTACATCGGTAAGTTGTTCCGTCCACAAGTTTCCCGCCATCTCTAGCATGTTTTATTTTTCATGAGTGTTTCATTCTGTTCACATCCAATTATTCTGAATGTTAAGTGTCGAGTGGAGCATCAGCGTATCATACCTGGGCTCACATGAACAAAGTAATAGAGGAGAAGAAATTCGAAGTGTCCTTGCATGATGTTACCGAACAAATTGGTATCCTGTCGATTCAGGGTCGTAACAGGTATCACAAAATACGCAGGATCATACGAAAAATTCTATTGTATATTTTCGATCTATTTTTTTCTTTGACGTGTTTATGATTTCAGCCGAAAGATAGTGGAATCATTATTGGAAGAGAAAATTTCAGATGAATCATTCAACTACTCGACCACTAGACTGGCCCAAATTCGAGACCATCTGCTACGCTTAATCAGAATCAGTTTTACTGGTGAACTCGGTTTTGAGATACATATACCCAGGTCGTCGTGCCAATCAATTTATACAGCATTAATGCAATACAGAGAAAAATTTCATATGAAACTTGCAGGATTCAGAGCACTGTACAGTCTGAGTTGCGAAAAAGGTACTTAATAAGAACATTTCCAAAAGGAGATTAGGTGAACTATACAAATCCCACATACTGTTCTAAATTCTCTTACATGTATTTTGTAGGTTATCATCTTTGGGGCTCGGATCTTCGAACAGACGATAACCCCATCGAAGCTGGATTAGGATTTGTTTGTCGCAATTACGGTCACTATCGAGGGAAATCAGTAATCGATCAGTTGCGGCAAAATGGAATTAAAAAGAAACTGATGCATTTCCATGTAGACAGGTATGCCCATTGCAACAGAATAGTGATCAGGCATTGTTCGTTCGAACGTATTATTTATATATGATAAATGCAACTGTCTTAATCTTTGTTATATTAGCAGTGTCCCATTATGGGGTTTAGAACCTATTTATAGGAACGACGTTCTCGTTGGCTATCTACGAAGAACAGAACAAGGATATAGCTGTGATAACGCCATCGGTCGCGGGTAATAAAGATGCAATCGATCAGTATAATTATGATTTGTTATTGAACATAATGATTTTAAACTTACTGTTCTTTCGTTCTTTTTCTATACAGATTTGTTAAGCACCCAAACGGAGAGAATATTACAGACGAGTTTCTGAAAAATGGTAACTATGAGATTGAGGTAATGGGGAAACGTTATAAAGCTGAATCCTATTTAAAAAGTCCATTTGACCCTCAGAACAAGAGGATAAAAGGAATTTATGAAAACAAATCGAATCTGTGATTCTAACACATTTATATACTCTTTGTTTGTACCTTATAATTAATGTACAGCTAACATGCCAAAGGATTAGCATGAACAGTGACACTGGTTATTCGGGTTTCTGTAAGGGGTTTATAATTCTTTGGGTTCACAGGCAATTTTTCCAATTGCTCTAATGTTTCCATTCCATCTATTACTCTGGAAATAAACAAATCATTATATCTGAAATACTGTTATTATATAGATTAATATGATCTATAGCAAAAATATTTACTTTCCAAATAAAGTGTACTTTAGGTCTAAATGTGGTTGTGGCCCATATGTAATGAAAAATTGACTTCCATTTGTATTTGGACCATTATTTGCCATAGACACAAGACCTCTGGCATTGTGTTTCAATTCTTCCTTGAACTCGTCTTCAAATTTACGATTCCATATCGAAGTTCCACCTTTACCGGTTTGTGTTGGATCTCCAGTTTGTACAATAAATCCTTTTATATTGCGATGAAATAAACAATTATTATAATAATCGCTAGCACACAAAGCGAGGAAATTCTACAAAATAAAAAACTAGAGTTGCAGTTAATAGAACATGCATGTGCCAAGGATGGTTATTGGATTAAGATACAGAAAAGACTTACCTCACTTGTTTTTGGACATAGCTCACAAAACAATTCTACCTTTATGTCACCGACATCCGTGTGTAGAGTTACGCTCTAGAAAAGATATTACGTATGACATGCGAGAGAAATAATTGCATCGAATACGGTGATATTAATTTACGTACCATTTTTCAGTAGATTATTCAGCAATTCTTTCGAATTCGGAAAACGTTATTTGTTATTACCAACATTTCTCATAACATACCATCTATGCGTAACCGATAAAAAAACCGAGTGTACACACATATAGACGGCCATTTTGAATTGTATAGGAATACCAACGAAATCAAATGTATACAGTTATTGTTAAACAAATTTCAAGTATTTCTTGTATACCTTTTTCATAAGTAGTCGCAGATGAGTTAGAAAATCAAAAAATCTATATCTACTATAAAGAGAAGATATTCGAATTCGAGAAAAAAAGCGTGGAACATAATTCGTGAATAATGCCAATAAATTTGTAGTGAACTTGACTTCGGTTTGAAGCGACAAGGCATCGTAGGAGCAGCGCCACTTATTTCTGTTGAATGTTCCGCTTGTTTCTCGTCATAAGTAACGGTTAGGTAAAAAAAGATATTGAATACTGTGGTGTAGATTTAACGCGTAAAAAGCGTGTCTATCGTCGTTCAAATCGAGAATTTGATTTTATTTTCTGAAATAAGAAGGGAAAACAATTATTCGTAAAGAAGCATCGCAAAGCAGTGACAAGAAAATCCGGACGAGTGGCGCGTCTGTGCAAACGGCTCTCTGGTCGTATGACGTAATTGTATTGATCGCGGAAGAAGAGCCGAAAGTCGCGCATTCGCCATCTTGGACGAATTGTGGAAAAGAAGTATCTGTGTCTCACAGGCGCGGTACACTTGTAACAGTTGTAATCCGTGGCGATCCGGATATTAATTAGTTTAACTGGGAATTAACCCTTTTGTGAATTAGATACCCATTTGGACGGACCAAGGTAAGTTCTTATTTCCTTCGTTCGCTTCTCCGTCCGAATCTTTTTTTCTACGTGGAAACCTTGCTATACAACTTGGTCCTGGTAAGCGTCAACCTCGAGTGCTACTTCTCGTTTCGTATGGTTACCTAGTAACTATTTCCTTTCAAAACTATTCGAACCCGTAAATCGTTTATCATTATCTGAATACATGACCGTTGCATCATGAATCTTTTTGTTTTGAATTTTCGTGACTTTGACATCGCGAACAAGGGGTTGGGTCGGAACGTTACATTCTGCCCATACACCTTCTTCCCAGTCAGCATCTTTCGCATATTTTAGCAGATATTCTCTCGATTGTATATAGTTTTTCATTACTTTCTTTCCGCTTTTGTCCTTTTTTTCATTTTTTTCTTTTTTTTTTCAACATAACAAAACTATCCGACTCTCTCCTGTCAGCCTTTCTCTCTCGCTCTGTCTGCTGTCTGTCTGTCTGTCTGTCTGCCTGTCTCCATCTCTGTCTCTATCAATTCCCCCTCTCGTTCTCATTCGCTTTCCGCATTGAACGTTCTTGTCAACCTTCTCGTTGTCTAGTTCGTCAATGTATTGCTCTCTGTCGCATAATTGCCAGTGTTATTTGTTAAATTTTTTTTCAGTAGTTACCAATTATCAATTTTCATTTATTTGCGCACTTGTGTTATTGTCGCGTATGGGTTTGCGCGCGCGTGCCTACATATAGAATATACTATTAATTTCATATGCTTTTTATGTATCTTATATTTTTTTAACTAAATTCTAATATACATTTAAATGGAGTGAAATATTTTGATTAGTTCTTTGCTCAAATATTTCTATTCCTGTTTATTTATTTATTTTTATAAAAGAATCCTATCTTGTTATAAAACAAGTTAAAAATATTTTATAGCTATAAAAATCTATGTTATGATTTCAGACAAAAGGTTCGTTCTTTGGGTCTGATTAGTACTAAATGGTTGCCTGCAGACAGCATGTCTACTCTGTCAGGGCTTGTGTCGAAGGGGGAGAAAGGAAAATCCAAGTTCCAATCATTAGACATCAATAGTTTATATAGAGAGTGTAGGGTAAGTAGCTATAGAATCCTGCAATTATTTTTTATTTTTGTGATATTTAATTCAAAAATTTCAAAGAACAAGATAATAATGAAATTTGTTACCTGTATTCAGGGTGAATCTTTGGAGCAACAGCAGCAAAAAAATACATTACCACGCAAACATGGAATGCAAAGTCTTGGAAAGGTGCCTTCGGCACGGCGACCTCCTGCCAATCTGCCCAGTTTGAAAAGCGAATATAGTAGTAGCGATCCAGCTGTCAGTCTTGTACCAAGCGGAGGAAGTGGTTGGGCTACTACCAAAGATACAACAACAACAACCACTACCATCACAACTACCACAACTACAACTTCATCAGAAACGACCACTGTGAGTTTACAAATGATTCGTTCGCAAATAACTATGTCTAATACATATATGTTTAATTACAAGCATGGAAAAGAGTGGATACTGGAATGATCATTTTTATTGTTACTAGTCAAATTCTTCACCGGCACAATGTGTAGCAGGGACTACTGCAACATCATCGCTGCATCCTCTACTGCCAGGACAACAAAGCATTTCTCAACCTTCGTACAGTTCCGACGCAAATATCAAATCATCATGGAGTGCAATAATGAGCAGATCAGGAGATGGTAAAAATCGTAACTTGTCATGAATGTTATTTAATTAATTTTGCGCTTTTCTACACGATTGTTTTGTTTGCGGTACAATGGCTAGGCGGTGTACCGGCAGGTCAGCAACATATTCAACAGCAGCAGTCTACAAATCGGGAATTAAGTGCTCAATACGGTCCCGGGCCAAGTTTACGTCCACAAAGTAAGTTTGAATTTTCTAGTATAATACAGGAGTGCTAATACGCATGATATTATGCAAGATATGGAAAGGAATACATATGTACTTATTTGCTAGCGGAAGGAAGTTGGATACAAGGTGGAAGTCGTACAGCCAGTGGTGCAGGGTTGGGAACAGCTGGTCCCGGCACTGGGACCACTTCGGGGGTCCAGGGCCCCCCTTTGAATACGACTGGATCGGGAGGACATGCCGACGCATCTGGCGGACGACAGAACTTGGTCCAGTCTCCCAACATGGGCATGGCCCAGGGAGGCCCTCATAACGCTCCGAACAGTCAGAGCGCTCTAAATTCTGGCTCTCATCAAATTGGCCCAAATTTACACCACTATAGAGGACTTATCCCTCCGTTTGTAAGTTTGTACATTCTTATAACTGTTCACCGGTCTTGAACGTTTAAAAGGTGTAACAGATATTTCACACTTTGACAAATTTTCACTTAAAACAAAATATTTGCAGATGTACCGAGGAAACTTTCCTGGAGGATTTCCCTCACAGTTTCCATCGAATACCGGTCCTAACGGACCTAGACCACGATTTAATTATTCCGCGGAACGATTCCCTGCCCCGCCACCCCCGCGTCAACAAGAACGCGAACGTGTTCCCGAGGAAGAAATCGTTACCCGACCAATTATCAAAGAGGAAGATCTTACTCGAATGGACGATATTTCCCGCGATGCCGGTTGGGCAGAACAAGATGACATCGATTATAACAAAAAACTTACTTTTAGCGATGACGAAACAGATTCCGAACCACTGAAGAAAGACGAGAAAAAAGATAATACGGAGGAGAAAGCCGAAGAAAATTTAACGGAAGATAGAGATAACAAAACTCGAGAAAATCGTGATATTCACGACAATCGCGAGTCGAAGGAAACCAGAGACCAACCAGTTCATCGTTCATGGACTCACAGCTCTTTGCCACGTGATTATCGTGGATCCAATGGATCTGGTAGCTACAATAGCAACCAGTCACAATTACATTTGGTACATTCTTTGAGAGGTGAGGATACAGATTCGTCTTTCACCGAAAGTGATATTATACAATATATTATTTGACCTTCAAACTGTTTTTCTTTCTCATTTTTAAATGTGTTTTACTGTGAACAGGCGTTGAAGACGACGAAGGATGGAACGAGAAACGACGAGTGGTGAGAGTCGAGATGGCATCCGTTACTGAGCGTGCTCAGCAACGTAAAGAGGAAGTGGAGAAATTGTACGAAGAATCGAGTAGACAGGCTGCAGCTAAGAAACAACAAGATGTCGAGCAAAAATTGAAAGAAAAACAGTCGATTGAACCGAAGAGTTTAATAAGTGTTCCACCTGTGCCAATCCCGGTACCGGAATGGGAACGCGAGAGGGAGAATAGAGATCGAGAACGGTCTTGTGCCGGATCTGCCGAGGGGAAAGGTGGAGATGACAAGCCTTTGGTCCGCGAATCTCGCGAAAATAGAGATGCTCCGAAGTATAGCAGAGACTCGCGCGACCAGCTGCTATCCGATTTCCGACAAATCGATCGACAAACTTTCATGAGACAAGACGGTGCGCGCAGTGAACGGGATAGAGATCGCGAACGTGACCGGGATCGGGACCGTGATCGCGAACGCGACCGTGATCGTGATCGTGAACGCGATCGCGACCGTGACCGTGATCGCGATCAAAGGGACACGAGAGATCGCGAACACTTGCCGTCGTTTTCCCGTTCTTTTCAATGTAATTTACCACCGCGATTTCAAAAGCAACAAGCTGAGAGAAGCAACGCTGGATTTAATCGTATTTCACCGAGCACCGAGAGAGCATCTCTCCAGACTGTCTCGTTTTCCGGACAATACGACTCCAGCAGATGGCTTCACACTCAGAGTTCGCTAAGTAAGTAGTCAAAATGTCATTGTACTTTAGAATTGTTTTTGCGAATCGACTAATTAATATTTCTAACATCCGAATAACATTCGTCTCAGTAGATAACAACTTGAAGCAGTCTCACGGTACTGTTCCGCCTCATCGTCGAAGCAGAACTGACTCCGAAATCTCTGTGTCGATGGAGGACGAGCGACCTCCGTCCCGAGATTATCGAAGTTCATTCTTACGGGAGGATCGGTATCGTAATTCCTCGCATCGGCCTTACGATGTCCGCAAACCAGGCGGCTACAGTGACGAGTACAACCGCAATTACAGAGATCACGATTACGAGGACAAACATTCTCGTGACTCCTGGGAACGTGATAGATACTACGACGACAACAAAACTCGGGAGTCGAAGGATACCTTGGAATCGAGAGACGATCGAGAAAACCGAGATGCACGCGATGTTCGAGCGACCAGAGACATAAGGGAAACTCGCGAACGAGACACCAAGCTGAAAAAGGATTACGATAATTACTTGAAGGTATTCAGCATTTTCTGTTACCGATTTCTTATTTGCAATATCACATATCGATGTGTTTATTCGTACAGTCTTAAATTGATTTTCGTATTCGCCAACAGGATTCTTTTGAGGACCGTGATCGCGACCGTGATCGAGAACGCGAACGAGATCGTGATCGTGACCGTGATCGTGACCGCGACCATGAACGTGAACGCGACCGAGATCGGGACCGTGATCGCGATCGCGATCGCGACCGTGACCGTGACCGTGAACGCGACCGTGAACGCGATCGTGATCGCGATCGTGATCGTGATCGTGATCGCGACCGTGATCGTGACCGCGATCGTGAGCGCGACCGTGAACGCGATCGTGAGCGCGACCGTGACCGTGAACGCAATCGTGACCATCGTGATCGCGATCGTGACCGCGACAGGGAACGCGACCGCGACCAAAGAGAACGATCGGAGAGTGTCGAATGGCGAGAGGAACGTATACAAGATACTAGGTCGATGGATAATCGTCGCGACACACAGCGGGACGAGCGAGTGGAACGCAACGAGCGGCCACAAAGACCGGATTCTCGCGACAGTCGCACTTCCAGAGAATCGAAGACGTCTCTGCGCGAGGATGATTCGCACAAGTTGCGCGATTGCGGTTCTTGGGCGAACGAGGTTGCTGATTACGAAGAAAGCAAGCGTGACACGTATCACGAGGACAACCGAGAAAGAGAACGAGAAAGAAGACAGCCTCTTGGACCGGTGACCAAAGAGAGAATTGAGGCGGATGAACTGAAAGGCGAAAAACGTAATTTAATTCAATTGAAACGAGCGAGTTCTGAGCACGATAAAAAAGATCCGGCTAAAGAATCGGTCATTGAGACGAAGAAGGATGCGGACGTTTGGAGCTGGAAAGTAGATCGAATAAACGACAGCAATCGAACGATGGAAAGAGGTGACAATTCTCCAAAGGCGTGGGCCGATGCTGTTTCGCCAACGTTCGAGAAGGAAGAAGAGAAAAGTTTGGAAAGCATCAAAAACGATAAAGAAACCGATGAGCTGAAGCAGAATTTGGAGAAGTTGAACTTGGAGAAAAGAGGAGAAGGTGTTCTGAACGAGGATGCTATGTCGGAACAGCAGGGAAAGGAAGAGAAGCGAGACAAGAGTATTCGAAATCGAACCAGCAGCGGTGGATCGAATTCTAGAGCCCGCGAGTCTCGAGGAGGCCGTCAGTGGGCTGCTACGTATGGCACGTCGTACGCTAGAGGAGGTTGGCGCAGCTCAGAGTCTAGAGGACGAAGAGGTGTGCACAGAACCAGTGGCAGACCAGCTTCTGCTAGAAGCGGTTCTTACGGACACACTGACTCGGAAAACAGCGGGGACGAGGTATCTTGCTCAACTGAGTCGGGAAAAGAGGAAAAGAAATCTGCCAGATCGCCAAAGCCTAATCAAAACGTAGAAAAGGAGGACCGTAATCGAGAAGTCTCCAACCGAGACGAGAAGCGAGCCGATTACACGCCGTCACAGTCGCAGACGCAGGCCCAGTCGCAGTCCCAATCGCAGTCGCAAACGCAGCCGCCATCGCAGTCCCAACCGCAATCGCAACGAAGCGAGAAACGAGCCTACGATGGTAGCAAAACGAGCCACGAAGGATTTGCTCCTTCCGGAGAACCTTCTCGTCACGGTCGGGGTGGCGTGCGAATGCGAAGCGCTACCAGCACCGGAAATCGCATGGAAGGATACGGACCGCCCTCTAGTAAGAGTCCTTTTTCTTGCGAACGGACCGCTGAGGAGAAGCGGCAAGAATCGTCGGGCTCGATGCGCCAGAATCCAGCCTTGTCGACACCTATCTCCGAGAAAGAACCGATCACCCTCACGTGCTTACAACTAGAGTCTACCGACGACAAAATCATTGCAAAACAACAAGCGCTCACCGCAGGGATCACCGGGAAACGTACTAAGTCTCCTATTCAGCAATCCCAGCAGCACCAACAAGCCCAGCAGCCTTGCAACAAGCAGGACATCAATCACACGAGCAGCAATGCCGTCTCTCAAAAGGTACATGGTCGCAAGGAGGAATCATCGCGTTCGAAAAGAACTCGCAGCGCTAGTAGAAGGGTAAGTAACCATGAACAGATGATATTAGAACCACTGCCCATGGGATCGCGGATTATTGCCACGACAGCTATGTACTATTATAGAATCGATCAGTTATTAAAAATTGTCGTTGATATTGATTGCAGGGCAGAGACAATCGGGAGTCCCGATATCGTGGAAGCAGCAGCAACGTGTCGAAGCAAAATTCGTCAGATATTGGAAACGAAGAGTGGGAGTCGACTTCTGACAACAGCGAGGAACACGTGGAAGAGCACAAAGAGGTGCGAAACAGCCGCAAGCAGTTCGGCACGCGTACAAACTCTGGTGGCAGCCAGAACACTGTGGGATCGAACATGGGACATTCCCGCAGAAACGAGCAGACAGACAGAACTTCGGGCAATCAGCGGGATCAACGAAATCAGCGAGAGAAACCTGCAAAGTCTTCCAATTCAACATCCCGTGCTCCTGGTGCGGAGAAACGAAACCTGCAGAATTTGGGTTTCGCCAATCAGAAGAATCATGCCAGCACCATTCCGCCTCTGATGCAGTCCGCTCAAGTGCAGAACGGAAGATCGAGGAGTCAGACTTCCGGAGGTAACGCGACGATTTTAAACAAGTCGACCGCGAAGGATACCACGGTGAATCGTATAGACGAAATCAAATTGACTGATCCAAACTTAGTGAACCAAGCTCTGAACGATATGAATAAAAAATCCCAGACTAAAGAGAAGAAGATAACGGTAGACTACGAAATGGAGTCCGGTAATTATACCGAGGACGGGTCGAACGTAACAGAAAAGAAAGTTGATTCCGATGGTTTCCAGGAGGTTCGTTCCAAGAAGAACGTCAAGGAGTCCAGACACGGGCAAAAGGAGGAAACGAAGCCGCTGAAACGTGAAAAGGAGAAAGACAGGGAGCGGGATCGTTCAAAGTCTAAGGCGAACGGAGGTGGTTCGCAGACCGCTTCGTTGCAACAGGTCCAGAATATACCGACTCCGTTGAGCCAAACCATTCCACAACCAGCGAATATGCTACCAAAACAGCATGATAGAACACGGGGACCGAGGCTCGCTCCTCGATTCCAGCGGTTGCAAAAGCAACAACAGCAACAGATGTGCACATCGGAGCTGAATGATTCGAATAAACAAAGCAACTCTAGCAACGCGTACAGCAGCAGTAAGGATTCGTCGTCGAGCGGACCCGCGCCGCCGCCTTCTGTCAACGCTTGGGACAAACCATTCACTACCAGTCAGCTGCGTTCGACTTCGCCGTCCGCTGTTTCTGCCGATCTTCCATTAATGGCCGGCATGTCGACGCAAAACGATCACGGACACGTTCATGGCCACGGTCATGAGATCAATGAACAAACGAATTCTGGCAACAGTAGCCAACGAAACTCCCCGAATGGTGAGAAACCCGGCAGCTGCGGCGCCGGAGCTGGTAGTGGCAGCAGCGGAAGCGGAAGTGGAGCTGGCAAAATTTTGAAGGAACAACATTCTGAGAAAAACTCTGTCTCCGATGTTTCTTCACCACCTGTACAGACTTTAATCTTCGAGAACACTAATTACTCGAAGACCACCAAAGCCGCACCCTCCGATCTCGCCGTTAAAACGAAGTTTCCAAATCACATTAAGAACCAACAACAACAGCAGCGCGTCGAGAAACGTGCGGAATTGGACGAGGAAAGCAGCGGCGGGAGCGCTCCTGGGTTACAGCAACAGCAACAACAGAGCCTCCCTGTTGCGTTTTCAAATAAACCAAGCGATCTGATGAAAGACAAGAATCAGGAGCCAATTCAGATGCCGTTGTCTTTCAACAAAAACGAAGACAATGCCGATATGAAGTTGGACTTCACGTTCGATTCGGACCTCTCTCAATTGACGGAAGACAAAAACAAGAGCTTGGGAATGGCGCGATCCATGCATATGGCCACCGGTCAAAGCACTATCTCGCCCTCTACCGCCGAGCTTAATCTGAAGATTGCATCGGTGAAGAAAGTTTGGGAAAACGCACCGCCGATGCCAACAGTGGTCGAGCACGAGGATGGGAACGTTGTCAGTAGCGCAAACACTTTTCCTCAAGCATTCGAAAGTGCGGACGTCGACGATAGCTACAGTCCGCACCAACAATACAATCAAAATAACATGAAAAGTGAAATAACCACTTCCACGAACGTGTGCAAGGTGAGAAATCATTTCGCGCACATTTATTCTCATAGTATCATGCATGCGTATCAAAGCTATTACATCACTAGAAATTGACTCGATACTCCGACTGAAATTCAAGAATTTATATGTATTTTCTTGTTTCTCCATTCTTGTTTCTTACATTTGTCAATATATTCGAAGTTATCTTTGCCCGTATCTCGACGTTCCCTTAAGTAGTTATCATGGTGAAAATCAGAAAGGTAAGTGGCTGACGCGAACCGTTCATTCAGTTTTTATTTCATCCTTGCGATACCGACGATCTCGGCAACCGCTTAACAATAGCAACTCACTACTCCATATCGATCTCTACCATGTTCGCTTCTGCAACCATTTCGAATCGTGTTTCTAACATTAAGTATTGCTCATCTCCGATTAACGAGTAACACTTTCGATAAAATAAACTCTAATGTCGTTGAGATCACCGATCATCCATCCCGATTCAGATACTTCATCATTATCATTAATGCCCTGCCTTTTGCAATTGCTTTCATCTATCTGGATGTCGGAAACTTAATGTTCGGCGAAACTGAATCTAGAGAAGTGTCGTTTCCTTCATGCTGGCAATATTATTATTGTTGTTGTTATTATTATTATTATTATTATCATAACTATTATTATCATTATTATTATTAATTATTATTATTATTATTATTATAGTCTTTCCCATCCTTCGCTCCCTAGTATTAATTACAGTTCTCCTGTACTTTCTATCGAGTGATGCTCCCTTCATCCAGTTCAAACACGATTAGCGATGAACCTAACTATTTTCACCACAGTTCGAAAGCAGATTAAAGAAAGGAAGAAAATATTGTTCCCCGAAATACGCGTGATTCGGTCAGCATCAATTAGAACGGCAGTTGATAGTGATGTAAATAGAAAATTAAATAACGAAATACCATGTCCCCTGTGGGAAGATGCTGACTCTTTGCCTGATGCGCAGCTGGTTCCCCCGCAGGTGAAGCCGCAGCAACAGTCTTCGGGAAGCAACAGCGGTCAATCAGGTTCAACAGTTCCCGGACCAAGCCCGATCGGAGCGGGTCAGAGTCCAATCGGTCATCCACCGGTCAGTCTTCAAGGACCTTTGAGCCCACCTCCGTTCAATTCCACGGGACAACCGTCTCACATAAACTATCAGGTGCAGTTTCACTGAAAACAAACTATTCTCTGGTCTTGCGTTACGTTGTACTACGTTTGTTCTGCTCGCGTCATCGCCTGCGTTACATGTTATAAAATGTAATTAATCGCCTGTTTCTATTTTTTGTTTTTCTTTCCATTCTAGGAATTTCCTCAATACCCGGCCTCTCAAGCCGCGCAATACGGTAGTATGTCTGCGATACCCTCCCCACCAGCCGTGCTGTTTAACACAGGTTCTGGTCAACTTCCGGCTCAAGCAGGAGGTCTTTACGGAACGTTTCAATTAGATCAAAGCCGATCTCCTTTCAATCAGTATCCGCAGTACGCACCATCCTTACAAAATTCGTTTAGCCAGCAGAATCTCTATCTACAGCAACCTCCGCCACCGCCTCCGCACGCGCCAAACGCGCCTACCCCGGAGATGTATCAGAGCAATCTCTCCCAGTTTCGTATTGTAAGTAGAACATCGAACAATAAATGAGTTCCAACGTTAGCTGGATGATTTTCTGATGACTATTTTTATAGACCGCAGCTGCTGCGCCACCCTTTGGACAAAACCAACAGCTTAGTAATAATCCAAATACGGTTCTCATCAGCTCTTCCTCGAATTCTTTGATGTCGGCGAGCGTGAAGCCATCTTCGCAACCTATCGGTGCTATTGGAACAAAGGCGCCGCATTTTCAAGCACCGTCTGCTCCGCAACCAAATCCAGTACTAATTTTATATTCCTTTCAATAAGCCGTTTCAAACTGTTAATTCCAGAAACTAATTCATTCCATTGTTTCTAGTTGACGTATATACCGTATGATCCAAACCAAGTACTGGGGGTGGGCGGTAGTTATATGGGCAACTCTCAATTGGTACAGAGACCCGGGCCGAACGTACAAGCTTCAGCCAATAGTTACTACAGCGCCACTTCGGCTGGTAAATATACAAATAGTTTGCAACAAAATTGCGTAGTGTATCAATAACAAGACGCAGTATGCGTGATGATTTGATGCTATAGTTAACGAAAACATTGTTTTACAGATGTGTTTACCGGCTCACAAACAGGTTTTTATCAACCTGGGGGCGCTACCCAACAAACTGGCACTCATTACGGACTCCAAGGATTCGGTCAACATAGCCAGAATTTGGCAACCGGCAGTGCCACACCGGTTGGATTACAAAATTTCAGCTCTGGCTTTTTATCTAGTTCCGGTTTACAGATTGCTGCAGCCGCGGCTGCTCAGCAATTTCGTAATCCTACAGGAGGACTTCCAGGACCAGCGAACGCTGGTCCTACGTTTCTCAGCAAACATCAGCCACAGGAGCAACCTAGGCAATTGAAGAGTCCTTCAGGAAATCAACAAGATGTTCTTGCATCGGTTTTCAGTTCTAGTGAGTTGCGCTTATTCTATATCTTCTTGTTCTATCAGATTCCCTTATTGCAAAACATTTTCATTCACAATTTTATTATGTTGAACGTTTTGCCGCAGCACCACAAATACCATCTCCCAAATCAAGAAATTGTAAACAACAATCTTCGTCTCAACAGCCTCAACCAAGTCCTACACAGCATCACAAGTATCAGCAGTATCAAGGCGTTAGTCAATCTGCTTTGGTAAGCAGTTACAATAACTACGTATGTATCGCTCTTACGCTTATCTCAATTACCATAAATCAAACATTCGATTAAACGATAATAGAAATAATGAAATACTATAGAATATATAACTTAGATAATAAAGCTAAATCATTATTCGATATTGATGTATATCGATAGAAATGAAGGAAAGGTCACCCTATCGGAAGATGAACGTTCACTACATTGCAGGTTTTGCAGCAAAATGTACGCGGTATGGGGATGCCACCACGTCCTGGTATTCAACCTTCGCAGCAAAGATATCCTCCACCGATTCAGAGACCGGTTGTTCCATTCACACCGGGTCCAAATCCAAATAATCCCACTCAACAGCAACCGAATTGCATGCCATCGCAGCAACAACAGCAACAACCGCCACAAACTCAAATCAATCGTCACAGACCAAATATGCATCAACAACAACAACAGCAACAACGTAACATGAAAATGCAACAACAATACTATTCTACGCAAGGTTTGTTTTCCGTATTACTCATGCATAACTCGTGAAATACAATTTTTTGTCTGTTTACCTTTGTTGTTACGTTCAATTGTTCTCGACAGGAAATGTGAAAATGGATACAACCGAGAAAACTGATTCTCACAATGATAAGATCAACGACAATGGATCCGCTGCACAACAAGGAAGCACCAAGGCAAACGTCAATCAACAGGACAATGACAATAAAGAAGAAGTGAACCAACAAAATGAGTGAATGTGAAAGAAAAACCGTTCCGTTCATTCTATCGCTTGAAAAGAAATACTGTTTACGATTACGATTCGAAAGGTAAATTATAATGATTAAGTTGTTTTTGTACATGGAAAAGACTCCAAATGACATTGTATTTGCCATTTTAAAGAAGCTCATGAGCTCTCGGGAGACGTATTCGATACTTGGCTATACTGGTATATGTATCTAGTTAGAATTACTTAACCTTGGCGCATTGAAGAAAAGAAACATAGGTGATATCGTCATTGTACACGTCAACGCTTCTCCGAATTAATTATAACGAAGTTGCGTTTCATAAATTCTACGAACAAATCACGTTATCGAACATTCCCTTTTGTTCGAGAAAATAATAGTGCGTACTAAGTACACAACGCTGCAATGAACGTTAGAAGTATGAGGGAAAAACGAAACTAGTTCAAGGAAATAAATCCAATCGATACATTAAAGACAAACCAAGCTTGTCTGAACGAAAACGAAAACTTTCTACGGATTACTGTACGAAAGAAAGGAACTCCGTAATGCGCGTTGCTCGATTTAATGGGAAGCAAAAGTTAGGAACGCATCACAGCTGGACTGGTACGCACAACGTATCACTTCTTGGTGTTAATCAACCACCCTACCAATTAATTGCATTGAATATGAACATTATAAATGTGCACAAGACTCGTATTTCTGTATATGGACACGACGGCGGTCTGTGGTATACGATAATGTAAAAGCCAATTATCCGGAAATTTAGTTCGACAAAGATATAGCACGACCGTTGCTACAATACATTTTCTAGAGCACCATTCAAATGGGGGAAAGAACAACAAACGTCGGTAAAGAAGACTGTTTTATGTATATCGAAATTTCAAATTACCTATGCGATGGTCGTATAGATCTGCATGACGTTGTCCCTAATACAGTGTGACAAGTAAAAAGTTCGTGTACATTAATCGTTTATTAATATAATGTGCGGTCATGACGAAGCTTGTGAAAAATAAATAGTGCAACAATTGTTTATAGTTACTGAATATATTATCATGACCTAGACACTCTCGGAAAGATGATCAATAATTCAAAATATAATAATATATCACATCGATTAAAAATATATGAAGCGCATTCGATTCTCCGTGCGTAATATTCCATTAAGTAGCGACAATGTCTCATTGTATATTTTGATTGTATAGAAAGTGGTCTTTCTATTTTAGTTGCAAATCAAGTATGATTGTCGCCGTCAGTAATGTGCATGATATCATTATCACATATTCAACTATATATCGTCGTCATGATCTTTATTATTATTATTATTATTATTATTATTATTATTATTATTATTATTATTATTATTTGACATATTTCATTTTTAATGTTATTATCGTCGTCGTCGTCGTCGTCGTCGTCGTCGTCGTCGTCGTCGTTGTCGTCGTCGTTGCCATCATCGTTATCACCAACATCATCGTCATCACTATCATCATTGTCATCATTGCTTTTCCATTATATTATTATACAACAGTACACAATGTTACTATCATTATCGTGACTACTATCGGTGCTAAAATTACTATCCTTGACGGTAATCAATATTACTTCGTAATCACTACACCATTATTACTAATACTACTACTATTATCATTACTATCGTTGCTACTACTACTACACGTACCACTACTAACTACAGCTGCTGTTGCAGACGTTCCTACAGTTAGCATTACAATTGTCGTTATTGTCATTGTTGCTACAATCACAGTTGAAGTTGAAGTTGTCGTCGTGTTTTTAAAAGTACATAATATTTATTAGTATTGATAGATGTCGGATATATTCATTTATAATTTTGTAGACATGAGTATATGTTATCAAGGTATGAAAAATCAAAAATTTTAATATACTGCCAATTACATATGGTAGTCGTTTACTATCCTCGATTTTAAGTAAAATTATAAATGCTTATTGTGCAAGAAATGAGCAGATGATAAAAGCTACTTTGAGCAATAATCGATTAGCAATTTTCATGTGTTCCCGTTTAAACAAATATTTATTTAAATTCTATCACACGCAACTTTGAAACAATTCTAATGACCTTAAATATATTTAAATACAGTCTACTAAATGAGACTCGGTGCCTTTAAAATACTGCCGCAAAATCTGAATTTTTTAGCTAGTTTTATATAATTTTAAAAGTGTAATATTTTTAGGGGAAGATGGCGACATTTATAATAAGAAGAATAGGAATATATTTTTCTATTCATGTGAAATATCTTTCTATTTATTAATTTCTTTGCTTCATATATCAGTTTGTCTAATAATAGTAATAGTAGTGGTAGAAGTGATTGCAGTAGCAACAATAATAATAATAATAGTAGTAGCAGCTACTCCAGTAGAGGTAATAAAATCAGTAGTTAGTTTATTAGAAATAATAATGTCAGTGAATAAGGTAGCAGTGCTACTGTTATTACTACTGCAATTATCATTACTGACCTGTAGGTGTACTAGGCATTATTACAGTTACTTTATCATTATTTATGTTATAATCTATATCTATTTGCTGTTTACTATTGCTTACAATAATATTTTTTATATGCTATAAATCGATATGTATATTTGATTTTTGAACTAATTTTTGTACTATGCATGCTATATCATTTAAGGGCACGTATTGTGTTCCTCGTTTCCGTTGTAGTTACCTCATTACAATTTTTTAAATTATTTCCTAGTGATTTCATTATTATTACGTCTAACAATATTTCGCTACCAATATCGTTGTCACCATAGGTCATTGACATCATCGTCGTTGTCATCATCATCATCGTCATCGTCACTGCGTCGTGATGTCACCGTCACCAGTAAATGAAGAATGGTGAAATGGGTAAGTAAACATAGACACCGATTTGAAAATTTGTCGTTTACTATAATATCGCTTTTGCGTGACATAAACTTTTTCGAAAATCCATAAGAAAAATATTATATTGAATGCAAGTGCAGGGATCTGTCGAACTAATCTTACCCAACTAACCATACTGAAAAATTTAGTATAAAATTGTAATGTACTTTTAATATATAATCAAGCTTTATATATTTGAAAATGCTTTGTGTATATATTAAAACGAGCGAGCGTGAATATGATTAATGTAAAAAGTATTACATTATATGTATGTATATCTCATCATGTGTTGTACTTCAAAACGAATGTTACATTTTCATATATTGTAAACGTATGTTATTAAAATAATAAGATACATATTACGCCAGTTATACTCGTTAAACACATACAGATGCGACAGATCCTCGCACCTGATATGACATTATAAAGTATAAATAATTTTATGTATTTATAATTAATAAGCTAACTTCCACAAGCATCCAATGAAATTTAATAAAATAATTATAAAAAATACGTAGTTATCTATAATGAGTTGTAACATTGATTTAAAACATGAATAATTTTTCCTCGTTCAAAATGCGTCTTTCAAACGTTAAATTTTTTTTTAAACCTAACAAAATGCTTTTTTAAATATGACATATGTGTAACACACAAAAATAGTTTGCATTCAATATAAGAATGCACTAATAGCGCTAACATCGCAAGTTTGCATTACATGTGTCGGTTATACAGATGCATACGTAGGCACTGTCACTGTAGTACGTGTTCAGTACTTATGCTATAAACACACAATGTCAATAACACTCTTAAAGAACTAGTATTACCTATGTAAGTACTGACATATAATATTGTACGTAAACTATCGAAGATGGCTAAATTCTATTCAAAATGCTTAATGTTCTGTGAGTTAATTGTGACACTAAAAATGATTTTGACACAGACAAACTTTTCTTAATTTTATTTATAAAATATTAAATGTAATTCTAGTCGATTATATGCTTTTGCTTATCGTTTGATAACAGCAAAGTCGTTCCTTTTGGAGGATTAACAAAATTAATGGGGAGTGAAATAAGTGCCCACAGCGGGCTAGAAATTGAAGAGAAATCTGTAGAAATAACGGATTTTTGGGTACACCATACCGCTCGCGTGAAAGGACATGGTACTCAAATAGTATCTTTATTTGTCAGCGAACCGTCTTTGCATTATAATGCAAGTTTTGGGAATCCTTCTCCTTTGGAGAAAGCTGCAAAGGTTAACTTTAGTTTATTGATTACCTTGATATTGTGAAATCCGCACGTACCTATATAAAATACATATCTAAAATTATATATTTCTCTCGATCTATTGTTTTAGGGATTTATATAATATATATGTAAATAATGAACATACTTTTCAGAATCTAATGTTATATAGGCATCCTTGTATACTGAAGTATGTCTCATCATGGTCTAAAGGCAGCAAATTTTATCTTACAACTGAACAAGTTAGACCTCTGATTCAAACAATAGAATCACAGAATACGCTTCAAATATGCATGGGTCTATATAGCATTTTAAGGGCACTTGTATTTCTCCATGAGAAAGCATCTGCTTCTCATAACAACATATGTGGCAGTGTTATTTACGTTACATCAGAAGGATGTTGGAAACTTGGTGGCTTAGAATGCCTAAGTAAATTCAAAGAATTGACTCCAGCTTATTTGAAAAAAATAAGAAGCTATAGGTACGAGAAAGCAGTATCACCTGATGAAGATGCAACTATTTTATCGACTAGTTTTACAGCAATTGATGCATATGCATTTGGAATTTTGGCAGATGACATTCTGAAATTAAAGAATTCCGGTAAATGTATTAGTCAAGAAATAATCTTTTGCATGTAGATAAATTATAAACATAACTTTAATGCATTATTTCAGACGATGTACCAAGTCTTCTAGACTTCAAGCAATTTTGTAAAGAGAATTTACAGAATTCTGATCCATGCTTGAGAAGCAACTTATCAAGTGTTCTTCAGCACCCATTTTTTACTCATGATTTTATGAGAATACATGCGTTTTTAGAGGAATTACCATTAAAAAGCTGTCAAGAAAAAGAAATATTTTTTGGGTTAGTACACCTACGAAATTAAATAAATTATTGTCATTAATTGGAATATAATATTACAATAAAATACTTAATCAAATTATAGGAATTTAATAGTGCAATTAAGAACATTTCCTGAAAATATTGTAGCGGAACAGTTAGGACGATTATTACTTTCACGAATGGTTTTATTAGATCCAACTGCACAAGAGAAGCTTTTACCATTTATTTTAAAACCTAAAGGTAAAAAGTCTACATTCAATATACCTATACATATATGTATCTATATATAATCATTATTATTTCAGATGGAAAAGACAACGTGGACGATAATTTGTTTGTAGTATCAACATTTAAAGCATATCTAGTACCTAAACTACTACAAATGTTCTGTATAAGAGATGTGTCGATACGTTTGGTACTTTTATCACATTTTCACTCGTTTGTTCATACGTTTCAAGCGGACGAATTAAAATCTCAAATACTTCCTGAACTGCTTGTTGGAATTAAAGATACGAACGATCATCTTGTTTCTGCAACTTTAAAAGCATTAGCTGATGTAGTTCCAATACTCGGTGCAGCTACTGTAGTTGGTGGAAACAGGGGAAAATTATTTACGGATGGTCGACCAAATAAAGTAAAAGACAATGGACAAAACAATAATGCTATTTCATCTTTTGTAAACATCGTTGATTTTGCAGCCCCTACAAGTACTAGTCAAAACATAATTAACTTACCAGAGAGGCCATCACCGGATGGAGGCGAAGATAGAAAAGAAAATGTTTCTTCGGTTATAGAAGAAGAGTATACATGGTCCGATTGGGAAACTCAAGAAACCTCCACTAGAGAACTCCGTCCTCAGATTTCCCAATTACCTACTTGCGAATCTAATGACATTTCGACCGTTAATTTAGTACCAATAATTGACACAAATCCAGTATTTGATCTCAACAAAGCCAAAGCAATTGAATCCAAGTTTCCAAAGAAATCAATTATTTTATGCGATATTTCAGAACTTGATATCAAGAATTCAAAGTTGACGAATACTACAAAGGAAGAGTATGACTTCTTCACGGATATGGAACCCATAATAAAAAAGACGCAAGTGTTACATGTACAACCACAATTAACAACAAAAAGTGTGTTCGACATTAAAGCGTTAAATGAATTAGATGTAAGTGAAGAGAACAATGGTTGGGAAGAAGATTTAAGTGACTGGGGAATGAATGATGCTCAAGAATTGAAGATTTAAGAAAATAAGAGAATTTCTAAATCGCATATGTTATATATACGATACAAAAATAAACTTAGCGTATAAAATAAATTTGTACAAAATATATGTGAACTAAAGTACAGGACAGAGTTTTTTAATGAGACAATTATTGTTATTTGTCTAATGTTGCAGTGGAACAGAAATTATTCATCTTTGAAGTATGATTCAAATGTACATATATACATGCCCATGATGCATACATATATTAAGTGAATACAAATGTTATATAAATAAAATAAATTTTTGTAATATATTGAATTTCGTGATTAATATGTACGCTGCTTATATAATAAATCAATAATGTTCTGAGTAATTTAATTTTCAAAATGCTTACTAGAATTAAAAAGAAAACAGGAAAAAGTTGTTCATAACCGCATCCATTTTCTTGGGTGTTCACACCGATTCGGTATGGTTCGAAGATCAGAGTTCTTGATTTAAATGTACTATAGAGATGTAATACAGTTGTTTTTAATATTATTACAGATATTTTAAATATCGATATTTTGTATCGATATTTTTTAATTAATATATCGATATTTAATATTATACGATATATTGATGCACAGTTTTATGTTTATCAAAATTTTGTTCCCGTGTGAAGCTGGCTCGCCATAGTAACCAATATTAATAAAACATAGCTAAAAAAATTGCTCTTTAATTGCTCGTAATTGTTCACCAATTAGTTTTAATTACTCACTTATCCTTTTCGAGAAATATACAAAAAACTTTTTGATATGCCTATCAACTTTTATAAGAGACGGGTACTTTTAAAAATACGAAAATTCTGAAAGAATGCATAAAACGTGCTATATGACCTACCAAAGAATTGCTCTTTTTTGATAATTATTGTTCTGTAATTGCTTTTAATTGCTTACTTCTACTTTTCGAGAAAGTGCCAAAAAATCATTTGCTCTCTTCCACATTTCGTGAAATTTAAAAACAACCAAGCTGCCAGTTCCCCTTTTTAAGCTAGATTATACCGACATGTAAAAATTGTTTAATGTCGGCGAGCGATGTCTTCAACAGTCGCTCCTTCCTTATTCCTCCTTTTTCTGTAATTATATTTAATAGTTCCTTTGTAGTTTTTCTGAAACTTCTAAAATACTATGAGCCAAATTCATAATTCTGACTTCTAACTCAAGGCGTTGTTTTAGATGGATTTGGTGAAGACGGGCCTAAGACAGAGTTGGGCATTATTTAGATAAGAAATTATTTAAATAATGATTCGAAAAAGAGATACTTTATCTTTATTTGTTATTCGAACGTTTGAATAAAGAAAGTATTTTTATTCGACAAGTATCGAATAAGTAATTTCATTCGACGAGAATTTATCCAACGAATAGAGATACTTTTTCCTATTCGAAGTGCATTTATTCGTAGCGTTGAATACAATTTTCGTCCGTGGGTTTTTTTTTTAATATTATTGTCTGCACACGAGTTCGGCCACATGCATTGTGTCTTTCCGCGACAGAGAAAGTTTTCTACAATGGAAAATCTTCCCCACGTTAAAAGAAAGACGCGCCAAAATTATTGACAAACTATTACTATTACTATATATTATTACATTTATAGAAACGTATAGACATGTACATAAACACATTGCGGCGGCCAGTAAGAAATTTATGTAAGGATCGTAAAAAATCCTACTGTTCCTTACGTAAATTTAATTTATTAACAATTGACAAATGCATTTTCAATATATTTACATTGCTACATGTGAAACTCGACGAAATTGTTCTCTCTCTCACTCGCTTGCCTCGCTCATTCGAAACAAAACTAACCAAGGGACAAACATCAATTTCAATTACTAACAACTTTGAAAAAAATTTACATACATTGTATGTGACAATCGTAAGAACAACTTCTCCAAGCGTGAAAAACTCTACACATACATACTCTATCCTCTATACTCTAAATCACTCCCGTTGTGATCATTTCGGATCGCCGATCAATATGAAAATAAATCTTGAAAACAGTTTTCGATTTAATTTTAAAAATTTTATTAAAATATGGGAAAATTTTGAATTTTCTTTTCTTTTCAGTTTTAATTTAAAACTCTACTTTCTTCTAAGATCAAATTTTAGTTTTCTTCTTAATATGAATCTAAAATTTTACTTTCTCCTTATTTAACAAAATTTTATCTTCAATTTCAACATGAATTTACCTTTTTGAAATAGAAATTAATATTTTCATTTGGAATCATATATCAGACATCTACACTTCTTTTTTGTTGTAGTTGCTGCTTCTACTTCTTTTTTCTTACTGTTGCCTTTCTTTCCTGTTGCTGCTTCTCTCTCCTACTTTTGTTTAATTCTTCCTGCTCCGGATTCCAGAGCCAACGTTGCATCGAAATGTGAGACGCATGCTCTTTTTTTATCAGTAGTTTTCTCAATTTTATATGTACCAGTGACCGCATGCTTGTTGTGTATTGCATTGTATATCTAGCTAGGGTGTATTTTTTCAATAATTCGCGTTTTCCGTTCGAATTCAATTCAAGAATGTAGATGGGCACGTACTCGACTTGCAATAGCGTTGCGAAATAATCACGCGTTGTTTTAATTCGTTTTGAGCAAAGATCAAAATTAGCGTTGCGAATAAAACAGTCGCGATTATCACTAGCATTGAAATTAATTGTTTGAAGTACAGTGTTACGAGTTAAATAATTGCGATTTCATTTTGTACCGTAGCTTTAAAGATAGCGTTGCGAATAAATACGATCGCGTTGTGAGTTGGAAAATTTTGAAGATTTTTAAAGTCCTCTTGTTTCTGAATCTCTGTTCGTTGTATGTATTAGCGTTGCGACGACACAATCGCGTTGCAATAGTTTATTTTCCGACTTTCTTTCTTGCCTATTCTGCAACAGTTCGAATGAACACATCTGCGGTTTACCATAGCGTTGCGAATTGATCACGCGTTCCTATAGTTAATTATGAACAGAAATTGAAGTTAGCTTTGCGCACGAAATAGTCGCGATTCTTATTTAAATTGCTGCATCGAGTAGTTTAAAAGATAGTGTTGCGAACTATTCGCGATTTGACTTGTCAATTTACTTAGATTTTTTAAAGCCTGCAGACTTGTTCTTTTTGCAAATCAAACTAATCTTTTGGATTTCTGTTCGTTGAATTAGCGTTGCGACGAAAGAATCGCGTTGCAATAGCTTCGTTCGACTTTTCAGGCGCCTATGCTGCAGCTGCCACAATGGACAAAGTCAACGCAATCAGCTAAGATGATCATATCGTGATTTGCATTATAGCGTTGCGAATCCGAATATCGCGATTTATCTTCGACTTAATTTCAAAGTTAGCGCGTTGCGAGAAAATCGCGTTCCAGTACTTTCGTTCGTTTTTCAGACTACATGCTGCAGCTGCAACCCTCTGCAGTGCAAACATTCTCGATTTTCATTAGAGTTGTGGGACGAAATAACAATAGTTGTATTAGCGTCGCGAGAATAACCAACGCGTTGTGTTCCGCAACGAAATGATACGACGAAATAGCCACGAGATTATTTAATAATATCATTTTCAATAAGAATTCTCGTTAATATTAAACATCGAAGAGCAATTGATTTATCAACGAAGCTCGTCTGCTGCAACAATTTCTCGAATCATTCGTGCTCGTAATATTACTGCATGTGTCTGATTCTGCCGATTATTTTCACTAACAAATTAAGTGGCAAAATAGCCAGTAAGGTGATTGACCAAACTTCTAACAAACAGAATTGTTGTAAATATTAAGAGTCGAGAAATAGTAAATTTATTAACGAAGGAAATTCGATTTAATAACTCATCGATCGATTTATACAAGTCTCTTGTTAATTAAACCTCGATGATACTTTCCATGAACAATTTAAGCGATGAAATAATTTTTCGGGCACCGGATAGCATTATAGCAAAATAAATTATCGCGAATATTAAATAATCGGAAATATCCAAAATAATCGGAATTATTGAAATTATCGATCGCCGTTGATCGCGCGATCGTCGATCGTCAAAGTCAGGGGGGTATACAAAGTGGGGGGATACTTCGTGCTCGCTCGGCTCAAAGTCATTGCCTAATTAGTCGGAACTTGTCTAATGTGGGAATCAGTCGGGTTTCGAGAAAGCTCGTCCAAAAGTGCAATTATAATAAATTAAATTGTTAAGAATTAACATATAATATAATTTTAAAGGATAATTAGTGCGCGAAATTATAATAAATTAAATTATTAAGAATTAAGATGTAATATAATTTTAAAGGAAAATGAAACTTTAATAACTCATCGACCGATTTGTGCAACCGTTGTTCTCTTGTTAATTAAACCTCGTTGATANGTAATATAATTTTAAAGGAAAATGAAACTTTAATAACTCATCGACCGATTTGTGCAACCGTTGTTCTCTTGTTAATTAAACCTCGTTGATACTTTTCACGAACAATTTAAGTGATGAAATAATCTCTCGGGCACCGGATAGTACTATTGCAAAATAAATTACCGCAAATCTTAAATCATTGGAAATAATCGAAATTATCAATATTATCGATCGCCGTCGATCGCGCGATCGTCGATCGTCAAAGTCAGTGGGGGGTGGGGGGGTGTGCCCTTCGTGCTCGCTCTGCTCAAAGTCGTTGATCAATCATTCGGAACTTGTCTAATGTGGGAATCAGTCGGGTTTCAAGAAAGCTCTTCCACAAGTGTAATTAAAATAAATTAAATTGTTAAGAATTAAGATATAATATAATTTTAAAGGAAAATTAGTGCGTGTAATTATAATAAATTAAATTGTTAAGAATTAAGATGTAATATAATTTTAAAGGAAAATTAAACTTTAATAACTCATCGACCGATTTGTGCAACCGTTGTTCTCTTGTTAATTAAACCTCGTTGATACTTTTCACGAACAATTTAAGTGATGAAATAATCTCTCGGGCACCGGATAGTACTATTGCAAAATAAATTACCGCAAATATTAAATCATTGGAAATAATCGAAATTATCGATATTATCGATCGCCGTCGATCGCGCGATCGTCGATCGTCAAAGTCAGTGGGGGGTTGGGGGGTGTGCCCTTCGTGCTCGCTCTGCTCAAAGTCAAAGCTCAATCAGTCGGGACTTGACTAATGGTGGAATCAGACGTGTTTCAAGACAGCTCTTCCAATAATGTCGATCGTCAAAGTCATTGGGGGGGGGGGGGGTGTACCCTTCGTGCTCGCTCGGCTGAATGTCAAAGCTCAATCAGTCGGGACTTGACTAATGGTGGAATCAGACGTGTTTCAAGACAGCTCTTCCAATAATGTCGATCGTCAAAGTCATTGGGGGGGGGGGGGGTGTACCCT